GAAAAGAGAGAGAGAGAGAGAGCACAAGCAGGGTGAGCGGGAGAGGGAGAAGAATGAGGGGCTCAATCCCAGGACCCTGAGATCATGGTCTGAGATAAAGGTAGATGCTTAACTGACTGAACCACCCAGGTGTCCCGAGCTCACTCCTATTAATAGACACATGACTGTTCCTAGTCTTTTAGTATTAAATAGTGCTGGATATGTTCTAGCTCATTTGTAGGAATATTTCTCAGAGCAAAATTTCTTTCTTTTTTAAGATTTTATTTATTTGAGAGAGAGAGAGTGAGTGCACATAAGTAGAGGCAGGGGCAGGCAGAGGGAGAAGCAGGCTTCTGGCTTAGCAGGGACCCTGATGACACAAGGGGTGGGTGTAGAGAGGGGGGCCTCAGTCCCAGGACCCTGGGATCAATGACCTGAGCAGAAGGCAGATGCTTAACTGACCCAGGCACCCCTTCTGGGCAAAATTTCTATCAGTGGAATTTCCAGGACTCCTGTTTTAGAAAGATGACTGCTATAGTCATATTGAAAGAGAGGAGGAGAGGCACCTGGGTGGCTCCGTGGGCTAAAGCCTCTGCCTTCGGCTCAGGTCATGATCCCAGGGTCCTGGGATCGAGCCCCAAGTTGGGCTCTCTGCTCAGCAGGGATCCTGTTTCCCTTCCTCTCTCTCTCTGCCTGCTTCTCTGCCTACTTGCGATCTCTGTCAAATAAATTAATAAAAATCTTTAAAAAAAAAGAGAGAGAGAGAGGAGAGGAGCAGAGACAGATGGTCAGAAAATGGGGGTGACAATGCTCACCTTTCAAGGTTCAGAAGCTATAGAGTCCCCAGAAGCTCCCTTCCTTGGATGGAGTCCTCCCAACCAATAGAGGGCCCACACAAACACAGTTTCTTGGGCTTCAGATGATCTAACCAGAGCTGCCTTCTGAGGGAAGGTCCCCGTGATTCATTCATTCACCACTCCTCAGCAGAGTGCTCACTTGGGTCTGCCAGGCTTGAAGGCTATTGCCTTCAGCCTCTCGCATCCCATTTGGCTCTGAAGAATCAGTTTGCTGGGCTCCTCATCAGGTTTCCAATTTATGAAATGTGCTGGAGATTAGTACCTCTTCTGTCATCTTGTCCTGTCCGTAACTGCCAGTCCAAGGATCCTTGCAGTTGCCTCTGTCATTTGTAACTGCTGAATCCTCTGCCAGATGCTGTAGGGACCTAGAAGAGCAGCTTTCCACCCAGGGCCAGTATCCAAAGGCAGGAGGGGGAAGTATAGTCTCCATTGTGACCTTTCACCTCCCAGTTCTGGTGGTTTGGGCCTTTGAAGTTCGCCTTGAGGAACCACGCACTTGGGTCTGAGCAGCCAACAGCTTATCACATCTGGTGATCAGTCCTTCAGTGGTTCTTCCTGAAGTCTGGATTTATGGAGGTCAGATGGATTCCACCTAGGAGGGGCTTCCGCTCATGACATGGGGAGACAGCTGCCCCTCTTTGAGGGGGAGGCAGTTTTCATAGCATTGAGAAGCCCTCACACTAGTTCCCCACACACCCGCCCACCCACCCACCAAGTCCTTTGTAAGCAGAGTGGGGGGAATAGAGAACGCCTGCAGCCTCCTGCTCGCATTCCTAGACACCGACTCACTGCGCCCGCCGCCGCTGGAACAGCAGAGCTGTGTGAAATGTCAAGAGGAGTTATGCTCATGGGCTCCCTGGCCCCAGTCCCTTTGTGGCTTGCATTTTCTTCCATCTGCACTCTGTTCATCAGATGGAAATCAGAGGGTGCAATTAGAAGATAATTTGCTAGTTCCAGACTTAATTTGGGGCCCCCTTCTGGCCTGATCAAATTACAAGGGAACATAATAGATTTTTGGTGAGAAATAGTTGGCTCTATCACTGGGAGAAAGAGAGCTCCCAGCTTTCCAGCTGGACAGGCCTTTTGGTATCCTTTGTGTTGTTTACCCTTTCCACCCTGCCTGACCTCCTCTGCTGCTCCTGTGTGGCCCCCAGGTTGGGATTCCAATCACCTCAGAGCTGGCTCAAGAGGTTTAAACTCAATTTGAGACCCAAGGAAAACAGGGAGCCCTCTGCAACCTTGTAGGGTTGACAAATGTTGAAGCCGGAAGCTATTTAGAGACCTATAACCAAGGCCCAGACAGAGGCTGCGACTTGCTGAGGGCCACATAGCTAGCCCATAGTGGTAGTAACAATAGTCTTAATGATATTAGCAGCTAACATTTATCAACCCTTAATGTATTCCAGACTCTGTGCCAAGGGCTTACACACACTGCATTGTCGCATTCAAACCCAGACAGTCTGGCTCCCGGCCCAGACTGGGCTCCAGCATAGCGATGGTGGAGCTCAGTATAGAAACTGTGGTTCGAATCCTGGCTTGTCCTTTCACTTATACAACTGGGTAGTCTCATACAAGCAATTTAGACTCTGTACTTCAGTTCTTCCCTCTGTAAAAAGGGAGAAAGAGTTGGAGAGGAGAAGGGAGTTAGGGGAAATCGGAGGGGGAGACGAACCATGAGAGACTGTGGACTCTGAGAAACAAGCTGAGGGTTTTGGAGGAGGGGAGGGGGGTAGGGGGTTGGGTGAGCATGGTGGTGGGTATTAAGGAGGGCTTGTATTGCATGGAGCACTGGGTGTGGTGCATAAACAATGAATGTTGGAACACTGGGAAAAAAAGCAAATTAAAAAAAATAGGGAGAAAGTATAGCACTGACTAGTGTGGGTTAAAATTCATTTTTATGTGTGAGTGCTGTGAGCAGTGCTTGGTGTAGAGTGAGCGCCTGTCTAGTGCTTACTCCCTGCTGGCTGCCTCTGGGTCTGGAGTGTGGTGTCTGTGTGCTAGTAGATAGATGTGGCTGAGCTCTGCACACATGCCAAAAGCTGGTCTTCAGTATTAGGGGCAGTTCACAGAGTGGTTGAGTGCCTTGGCTACAGAGTAGAGGATGGCAAACTATAGCCCATTGCCTGGTTTTGTATGGCCTGTGATTTTTACATTTTTTAATGACGGCGGGAGGGGAGAAAAAGAATGTTTCATGGCACATGAAAATTCCATGAAATTCAATTTTCATTGTCCACAAATAAAGGCTTATTGGAAAATAGCCATGTCCATTTGTTTATATTTTTTATATGGCCACTTCCGCACTGCACTGACAAATTCTGTATTTGTGTAGGCCTGCTAAGCCTAAAATATTTGTCTCTGGCCCTTTAGGGGAAAAGTGTCTTGACCCCTGATCTACAATCACACTGACTAGGTTTGAAACCCAGCTGTACCACTTACTAGCTGTTTGTCTTCAGGTTATTGATATAACCCTTCCAAACCTCAGTTTCCTCATCTGTTAAGTGGGGATGATAATATCTACCCTGTATATTAGCAGTTTAAGTATGATAGATAACAAGTGGAGAGCACTTAACACAGAGCCTGGAACATACTAAGTGTTTAATAAATGGTATCTTATAACAGGGTTTAAACACACTCTCTCTTACACATTCATTATTACCTGTGTGCCCAATCAATAGAGGAATGGAGAAATGTTCCCTTGTAACCTAGCCACCACCTTTGCCACAGATTTTCCTGTCACGGTGACAAGGTGACTTCAGTAGAGAGGAATGTGTGCCTGGTGAGAGAGAGCTGTTGTTACTCCCTCAAGTCCAACAGTGAGGTCTGGACGTGTCCCACTCCAGCAACCTTGCTTTCCCCCTCACAGTCCTGCAGGCAGAGGGATAAGGGGCTTTCCCAGTGGTGAGCTCCGGTTTGGTCATCCCCTCAGCTGTTACTCTTCTGCCAGGCCACCCTCCAGATACCAAGGCACATCATCCCCCCAGACACTTGTCCTCCATCATGCCCCATTTTTCAGTTTGAGAAGCCTGGTTGCCATGGCACAGCGGAAGAAGCACCACTGCCCCCTGGGGCCAATGGATGGCATTCTAGCAATGAAAGAAAAAAATGAGAGAGGTAACAGGTGACCTGGGCTCCAGTTCCTGTGCTATTTCCAACTTGAAGAAAGGCTTTGAGGGAGATATTTCCCCTTAAAGAGTCAGAATGAGCTCTGGGCTGAGAGCTCTGGCTGTGGAGCTCTCATAGGGACCTACATTTAAATCCCAGCCCTGGGGCGCCTGGGTGGCTTGGTCGGTCGGACATCTGCCTTCCACTCAGGTCGTGATCCTCCGGTCCTGGGATTAAGCACCGCCTCGGGGCTGCTCATAGGGAGCTTGCTTCTCCATCTCCCTTTGTCCCCCTACTCACTCTCTATCTCAAATTAAAAAATCTTTAAATCCCAACCCTGCTACTGAATAATATTTTGGCCTTGGGTTAGTTAGCTAATCTCTCTGAACCTTGCTTTCCTTGTTAATGGAGATAATTCTCATCTTGGAGAAATAAGAGAGTGCCTTACAGGGCTTGCCACTTGGAGAAACATCAGGTGCCAGTTAACACTCTAGGTCTCCTTTCCTCATGCTTAGCACAGCTCTGCCCAGAAGTGGAGTGGCAACCCGCATTGGCTAGCTCTGGGGGCTGTCCCCAGGCCAGGCAGAGGAAAGGGATGAATGGGGACCTAGCGCCAGGACCCAGTAGATACCGGCCCGGAGCACAGAACCTGGAGGGCAGCTCTCTAGACCTGGCTCTCTAGTCTCTAGACCTGCCTCCCCTGCCCAAGATACCCCCCCCCACCCCGGCTTTTGGGGGGGCGTGGCTTTGGCCTGGAATTGGTATCCTGTGCTTTCCTTCATCTCCGAGCAGAACTGACTATCCTTTGGGCGGCTCCTCAAGCTGGGGACACTCGGAGGCAGATGGGCTCTTTTTCTCTCCCTGCCGTGCCCTTCCCCAGCTCAGGGATGGACGCTCAGCCAGTCCTGGTTATTGTCTGTGGCGCTAGCCTGCAGCCTCCCTCCAGCCCAGCTCCACCCCTTGCCTGCAAGGTCTATTTCCTAATAGCTGCTCCAACCACACACCTCGGTTCCGCGAGGAGCCCCTCCTCTTCCTCCCTCCCTCCCTCCCTCATCAGGGGAGGGACTGAAGAAGAAGGCTAACTTGACAGCCGCGCTTCTTTCTTAGCTAGTCACCGGCCCGGCCCGAGAATCCGTGTGTGTGTGTGTGTAGCCTCTGCAGAGAGGTGTTTTCTCCCGGAGTCCCTAGGGTCCGCTGGAGCTTCCGAGAACTGGGGAGGAGCCGTCCCAGTCATGACCCCCTGCGGGAATCTGCTGGGGGGCAAGTGGCCTGGAGTCCTCACGCCCCTCCGGCTTCTCCGGAGGGAGAGGTGAGCCCTGGGCAGCCCGCCCACAGCCAGAGGTGCCGGGAGCCCTGGGCCTGTCATGGTGGCCGTCCGCAGCCAGCCTGAGGCACTCCCAGACGGGTTTGCAGCTGAGCTTGTTTATCTGGTGTGGGAAGAAGATGGGGAGTTACTTGTCCGTCCCGGCTTACTTCACCTCCAGAGACCCCTTTCGGTGAGTTGGGCTCTGAGTCCCCCTCTCCATCTCCTCTTCTGGCCCCTGGTCCTGAGGGGAGGGCAGAGGTCTCCCTGAACCTGCTTCTCAGATTTCACTTGTCCCTTCACCATTGGTACTGTCAGGCAGAAGCTAGCAGAAGCTCTTCCCAAGCAGAATAGGCCTGGTGAAGGCTTCCACCATGTTCTAGGAATGGTGAGGTGGGGGATATGCCCAGACGGAAGCTCCTGGGGAACTCCGGCTCTCCTTCCTTCCCAGGCACACCTGAAGAGCCTCCAGAAGATGCCGGTGACCCTGCCTGTTCTTACTGCTTCCGGGGGAAGAGCACAAATAGGGTGCTTTCCTCCAGCTTTCACATGTCTTACCTGCATGCCGTACTGTCTGCCAGGAATTTGTCCCAACAAACAGGATAGGCAGGTTTTGTCAAACAGCATGGAAGAAGCTGGCAAGGCCTGGGTGTGGGCAGCCTGGTACACAGTAGGTACTCTATAAACGTTTTTTCTGTTAATGGCAGGCACCTTTGCCTCTGGCTCTGAGGGCTTCTAAGCTCCCAGGTGAGTACAGTTGCTAGGGAAAGGCCTGGGCAGGTGCTTCCAAGACTGGGGCAATTGGTTTTGGAGTGTTCTGAGCTTCTGCCTACCCCCCCGAACACCCGCCCCATGCAGGCCAGGTCCCCAAGCCTGAGACCTCTGTGGGCCTTTTTCAGTAGGGCTTCTCGAGGGAGATGGGGAAACTTTCTACTTCTGACCTGCCTTTCTTTGCTTCTGCCCCACCCTACCTCCAACAGAAACTCCCCAGGGGGTTTCTGGCCCTCAGGGTCCCTCCTGAATGGAGCCATTCCTGGCCAGGGTGGGGCTTGTTTTCATTCTTTGGGAGCAGCCTGTTGTTCCAAGGGCTGCCTCCCCCTCACCAGTGGTCCTGGTCGACCTCTCCCTTTTGGCTTCCCCAGCTCAGCTCCATGCCCAAACCTCGCTGCCAGGATACTAGTCAGGTGGCCATGCCCTGAGCAAAAAAGCAGAACACCATGTGGTTTTCTGGAATTACTGGACCCTGGTAGAGTGGTGGGAAGCCTTTGGATTTTGGGGGAGGGGGAAGGGAACCGGTCCTCAGTGCTGACTCTTCCAGGCATTCTGCTAGGCACTTTTTTTTTTTTTTTTTTTTTAAGATTTTGTTTTTTTATTTGATGGAGACACAGTGAGAGAGGGAACACAAGCAGGAGCAGTGGGAGAGGGAGAAGTAGGCTTTCCACCGAGCAGGGAGCCCAGTGTAGGGCTCCATCCCAGGACACTGGGATCATGACCTGAGTCAAAGGCAGACTCTTAATGACTAAGCCACCCAGGCGCTCCCCACCATCCCCGCCCTCGATAGACACTTTATCCTTTGATTCTCTCAGAGCCTTTTGGAACTATGTATCCCCATTTTACAGAAGAGGCAACCACTTTCAACAGAATTAACATGTGGGGGGATCTCTGGTCAACTTTTCCCGTCTTCCTGAGTTTGTTTCATCCTTCAGGAGGCTGCATCATCTTCTGTTCACACCTCCTGCAAAGGCAAGTCTCAGATTTGCTTTTCTCTCCCAGCAGAGACTGTCCAAAAAGGGCCCCCATAGTTTGCCTGGCGCATTGAAGGGATGGCAAAAATTCTTTTCTGAAGAGCAAATGGGAATTGATCTTGAGTTTAGGAGTAGGTTTTACCATGTGGAATCAAGATGCCAAGTGTTTGAAGTAGCCACTAGTTTAGACCAGGGCCTCATTAATCCTTTTACTCTTAATCCTGGAAAGGCAGCTTAGGGGAGGGGTTGTTCCCTTAGGAGCAAGGAATGCTGTGCCCCTTTTAATCTCTGGGAACTGGACACAGCTCAGGAGCTAGAGCAGATAATGAACTCTCAACCTGAACCTTTTGAGGGTCATGCCACCAATGCTGCCCAGGTCTGCCTGTTCCTTGCCTTGCTCTCTCCATGCCTCTGGGGAACTGACTACCTTCTCTCTGCCCCAGTTCTTGTTTGCCCAGCTGGAGTCAGGGGTGTACTGATTCACTTTAACCCCCCACAATCTCCCCCAAATGAGAGGCCACATTCCTGGAGCCACTTCTGAAGAGATAGCCAGCATGCAGGGCCCTGTGCTCCATAGGAGGGATCACCTAGACCTTCTGCTCTCCCAGGTATCATTCTAATCAGTCACCACTGTCACTGGTCAGAAAACTGCTCCCACTATCTGCCTCCTCCGTTATTACAGGGCATCCTCAAGGGCTCCTCACTGACCAGGGGCCAGTCCCTTCCCTGGGCCTCAGTTTCCTCCACTGCAGGGCATAGGGGTTGGACTTCCTGGGCTCCTGAACACAACCCTTGACAGATTCTGTATCAAATTAAGTCCTTGACCCCAAGTATCTGGGGGAGTACGAAGTCCACAGGAGTTCTAGGATTGTGGTTGCAGGAAAGTGACGCAACCAAATTCCATGGGGACATGATCAGGCGTGACAATGCACAAGGGAGGGATGAGGGAGCAGGGAGCAGGGAACGGAGAATGTAATTTCTGTACCCTGTACCACCCTGTCTGACAGACTGCACTCAGCAGAGTGCATGGTCTTCTCTGCCATTGCCCCTAGTGAAAGGGGGAAGATACAATTATAGGTGTGCTCCCAAGTAAGAAAACGCTCAAATTGGAATTTACAGAACAGGTAAATTAAGCAGTGACTTTTTGTCTGATATGTTTAAAGGACTTTTTTCTTAGAGAATTTCACTTAATGTCCAACATTGACTTAATGGATTTGATTTACACATTGTCTCTTGAAGAAAACAAGTACATCTTTGTATTCTAAAGCAACCCATGGTTTGTTTTTCTGTTGCTGTTTTTACAACCCATGTTTGTTTGTTTGTTTTTAAAGATTTTATTTATTCGACAGACAGAGATCACAAGTAGGCAGAGAGGCAGGCAGAGAGAGGGGGGGAGGCAGGCTCCCTGCAAAGCAAAGAGCCTGATGCGGGGCTCGATCCCAGGACCCTGGGATCATGACCTGAGCCAAAGGCAGAGGCTTTAACCCACGGAGCCACCTGGGTGCCCCTGCAACCCATGTTTGAAGGGAAAAATTATTCTTAACTCTGTCCAGCTTAGCAGTAACATTGGCAGCTGCCCTAGGTCCTCTAGGACTCTTTTTATCTGGAAAGTGAAGGACTCAGATCAGGTGAGTGATTCCTGTAAGTCCGCAGCTCATGGGGCTCCTTAGAGACACACGAGCTTTTTTCCTTATCATGAAGGCTTTACCCTGAAGTGTGACTACACGCATTACTTGAGTCTACAGGTTTCCTGGCTTTTGGTTGGAACTGAATCAACATACTCTGGTAACGCTTATTTCTTGCTGATCAGAGGCTTATGTGTTTGGTTAATTTTTTTAAAACCGGATAACAACATACTCCATAACAATTACAGCTTCATTGACAGCCTGTTTCAGTCTACAGGTTCTGCAGGAAGAGGAGTAATAAAGGGATTTTCAGTGGTAGGGGAGGGACTGAGTTCTGATGGTCCAGTGTCACTAGGCCCCTGTTACATCTGCCCTTCAGTGCCTGGGGGAGAGTTGGCATCCCTGGTCACAGTACCCTCAGGCTGTGGCAGAGACACCTGCCCATTTTCCCTTTTTAGCCCAGTCAGAGCTCAGAGGCAAGGGGCTGGAAACAGCTGCTCTCCAACAGTCTGTTCATCCAGGAGGCTAAGGATGAGCATCCAACCAGGCCTTTACCAGGACATGGGAGGGCTTGTTCTTTAACCTTTGCAAATACACTGTAATAGTGGCTGCTTCAACCACATAAGGTTGAAAATTTAACCTGTAAACATTTGGTCTGAAGAATGTGCATGTGAGTGAGGGCTGGGCTGATGTCTTACTTAGCTTCTCCCAGCACAGCACCTTGCCTGTTTGGTCTTGCACATCCTAGATGCACAGTAACTATTTCCCAATTGATAGGAATTGATAATAATCAATTGCTTTCTAACTGGTTTGATAAATAATTCATTTTATGACATTCTCTACTCACAGAAATCTGTTTGGTTCTGAGCCTAGGTACAGATCCATACTGCTTAGGCACAGAGGGAAAGGAGTCTGCTTGCCTTTGCCCTTGTTGTTCTTAAATTAAAGAGGGGAGGGAGGGAAATGAACATTTACTGGACACCTGCCTGGGATCATTCTAGGCATTTGTACGTAATTCTCATAAACTCATGAGGCTTTATCATCACCAGTGCACAAATGAAACTAAGGCCCAGAGTCATGAAATAACTGGCTTGAGGTGACACAGATAGTAAATGGCAAAGAAGGAATGTAGACCCAGGTCTTGAGTTATTTTTGAGAATCTCAACCTGATTATCTTTTTTTTTTTTTAAACTGTGTGTTCCCTGCTGACTCAAAAGTCCTGAGTTTGGGATCCCTGGCTGGATTGGTTGGTGGAACATGTGCCTCTTGATCTTGAGGTTGTCGTTCAATCCCCACATTGGGTATAGTGATTACTTAAAAATAAAATCATTAGGAGCACCTGGGTGGCTCAGTGGGTAAAGCATCTGACTCTTGATTTCGGCTCAGGTCATGATCTCAAGGTCCTGGGATTGAGCCCCGCATCAGGCTCCATGCTCAACAGGAATCTGCTTCAGATTCTCTCCTTCTCTGTTCCCCCACCCCACCCTACAACCCGCTCACCCACTTGCTCTCTGTCTAAAATAAGTAAATAAAATATTTTTTAAAAAATAAAAATCTTTAAAAAAAAAAAGTCCTTAGTTTGGATCTGAACTGCCCACTGAACTGACCCCCAAGTTTCAGTTCACTTGGCGGCTACCCAGGCCCACTTTAGTGCTTTGGGAGAGGAATTTCGGAGGTTGCCCTCAGTGCATGTGGACCTCTCTGTGATCTCTCCTGGCTGAAGGGTTTCGGGTCTGTTCACTCTGGTTGTTTGGGAGAGGGTGTTGACCAATGCCTCAGACCTTGATTTATAGCTCCACTACTTCTAAGCTGGCTGCCCTTGGGCAGCCCACAGCTAGGGCAGATTTTGACTTTCACTTGAAACTTCAAAAAAATTGAAAGCTGGAAAAAAAGCCTTGGCTTTGGAGAAATATATTGTGACCATGGCCTCCAAGAATCTGAGGGGGGATTTTTTGGAGTAGCTCCTTAAATTTCCAGAGTGTATTTTAGATTCTTAAAAAGGCAGAGACTGCTGGGGAACACACAGCTATGGACTAAAGGAAGGAGAGAATCATTGTGCCATTTAACATTCAGTACTTGGATTTAAAGAAAAACCTCATTATGTGTTAACCCCCAAAGGGACTTGAGCTCTCAGGGCTCCAGACTACCTTATTTTCACAGATGCAAATCCTGAGGCCCAGCTTAGTGAATGTGCTGCATTACTCTGGTGATGCAGTCTAGTGGAAATGGCTTCATGGCCAAGTATACACAGGTTAAAACTCCAGCTCCATCAGTACATATTAGGTGACTTTGCAGAAGTGATTTGACTCTGCTTTTCAGTCTCTGGTCTTGGAATAGGGATAATCCTGTCACCTTGCAGGGTGCGATCAAGATTAGAGATGGTGGAAGCAAGGCACCTCATACAGTGCCCAGAATACGGTTGGCATTCAAGTAACAGGTAATAGTAACTCTCCTTAATTTCTAAACTAGGACTCTAAGTCTACCACTCCAGTGACCTAAGAACCAGTTGTGACAAAACAGCTTAGGGACCCACAGCCAGCCCTCCTATCAGCTGTTCAGCTTCCTGTTCTTCAGACACCTGTGACAGCCAACTTTGACTATATAGCTGGCCATATCCTCCAAAGGCATTTCTTGACATAGATGTGTGCATTGGTAATGTTCTCCAGGCAGGTGTTCTTCCCAGAAGCCTGGCGTGGCTCTGTCCGGCATGTCTGCACTCGTTTCTCTCCCCACTCTCCTGGGCCTGGCCAGGGCTACTCGCAACAAACAAAAGCAGGATATTGGCAGTGGAAAGGAGGACGTGTTCTGGTACTCCTGTGCCCTGCAGCACACATACCATTGAGAGGGTGTAACAGGGCCCAGGCCTGCAGTTAGGTGCAAATACAGCTTTTCTCCACTGCAGACAGCAAAGGGCAAGACCTGGTGACCGTGAGCCACAGAACGCTTCTGCTCCCATCTAGACTGCCTGTTCTTGCCACTCCCACCATTTTCAGTTTGGAAACACCTGCCAAGGGCTTACTCTGCTAGGCCCTTTGTTAGGTGCTGAATCTACCAACAGTAAATGGGACTGCTCCTGTCCTCAAGGAGCTCACAATCTAGTGAAGGAGAAAGACTGGTACCTAAGAGCTTCAAGTCAGAAGCTGGGAGGCAAGAAGGAAGCCCCTGCTTCTAGTGCTGGCCATTTGCTAGGCTTCTCACAGTCATTCAGAACTGGATTTAATGTCCTCACTGCTACCCTGAAAGTAGGTGGTGTCGTCGTCATTTCACAGATGAGAAGTGAAGCTGCCAGCCCAACATCAGTTAGGGTGGTAGGTGGTGATTCTGAGATTTGAACCTTGGATCATTTAGGGAAAGACCTGATATGCACAGGATTAAGGGAAATGGGGTATAATTACCTCATTTTACAGATGGGGAAACTATGCAGAGAGAGAAAGGGCCTTGTCCAAGGGCAGGTAGCTCCCAAGAACTTAAACCAGACCTCATTCTTCCCAGTTCAGAGCTCATCTTGCATGCCTTTTACACTGAAAGGAGTTTGAACTACTTGCCCAGAACAGGGTCTTCCTCCACCACCTCCTATAATTCATGGTTCTGATTATACACCATTCTAGGTACTGCATACCCATACTCTTCATGCTGTACCCAGCTCTCAAATCCTTGAAGTTCAGCATCCAACGAACAAAAGGAAATGCTATAGGATGGGAATGATTGATGGCAGAAGCCATCGGAGTTGAGCACCAAGAGGGAACTGGACACTCCTTAAAGAGAAATTTTCAGTGTCCTGCTTCTCTAGACCTCCCTCGCTTGGTTGCTTTCCACAGCTGCTTCAGTGCCTTCCTGTCTCCCTCCTCTACCTCCTGCAGTGCCCGGAAGTAATAGCACCCATTGTGACCTCTTACCTTTCATTGTAAAGTTTTGTTTAGACTTTCTCTTCCCTAACTCATTATAAGCTCTTGGAAAGTGGAGTAGGGAAATTTGTACCTCTATCTTTTATATCTACAGTGCCTGCCAAGTTACTGTAATAGTATACTTTGCTCTTCACAGTTTACAAAAGGCTTTCCTCATATATTAGCTCACTTGATCTTCACAGTGCTCTTTTTACTAAGATGCTGTTGGTCACATTTTGTCAAGGAGGAAAAGCAAATGAGAGAAGTTGTCCAGAGCTACCCAGCTAGTGGAGGAAGTGGCAAATAATGTTAGTGGCTAGCATAATTATCATCTGCTCTTAGCAGTTAACACTTACTGAGTTCCTCCTGGACTTAGCCTTTTATACAGACATCTGTATAGTTCGATACGTGTTATTTCATTTTCACAGTAGTCCATTTCACAGATGAGGAAACTGGGTCAAAGAAATGAGGTAACTGGCGAGTTCGAGCCCTACATTTGCTGTAGTGATTACTTAAATAAATAAAACTTTAAAAAAAAAAAAAAAAGAAAGAAATGAGGTAACTTCCCCAAGATGACATGAGTTGGCAGGGTCAGGATTCACACTAAGAGGTCGCTCCATCCTGCCTCTTAGAAACAAGGATGTGGCCGGGGTGGGTGGTACAAAGTCTTGACAACAAGAGTAGATTCTTCACTGGAAAGATAACATGGGCTCAGCAGGCCAGGAACCACTTAGCTCTGGGTCCTGGGAGGCTCAGAAATGAGGAGGAGCTTAGCTTATGTAGACTTGGCCTGAGAACACACCCAGCCTGGCTGAGGGGTGGAGCTTTACCACCAGGTAACTTGGAGGAGAAAGGAGCTGTGGGTCCAACCTGTGTCTCACACATTGCTAATGGAATTTTGCCCCCCACAGTTATTTTATTTTGAAAATTTTCAATTATATAGAAGAGTTGAAAGAATAGTTCAAAGAATACCCATGTATCCTTCACCTAGATTTGTTAATCTCAAGCCCTTTTTTCTTTAAGTATGTACACACAGACATGCACACACACACACACACACAGTGTATTTTATTTTTGCTGAACTATGAAAAACTAGGTTGTAGATAACTTTCACCCTTACTCTAACAATATTTCTTCTAAAAATTCTTCTATATAACCAAAGTATCGTTATGGCACCTGAGAAAGTAATAGTAATTTCACAATATAATCTAATGTACAGCCCAAATTCAAATTTCCTCAGTTGTTCCAAAATGTCACTCATGGCTGTTTTGTTTTTCAGTCCAGAATTGAATCCTAGGTATAAGTGTTGCACTTGGTTGCCGTGTCTCTAGGCTTTTTTAATTCCTGTACCTTTATTCCTTCACGACATTAACTTTTTGGAAGAGTCAAGACCAGTAGTCTTACAAAATGACCCACATTCTGGATTTGCCTGATTGTTTCTTAATGCTTAACATAATTTTTTCACAAGAGTGTTACATCAGTAATGGTGGTGGTGGTGGGTAGGTTTTTTAAACAGAGGTGATTTGAGCTTTTTTGGTTCATCAAGATACCTGTGGAGACCAGAGGTTTTTAACTGGGGCCATGACTTGGTTTCAGTCCTTGACACATATACACACATACACACACACCACACACACACCCCATACCTAAATAATATGCACATTTTCAGGGCACCTGTGTGGCTCAGTGGGTTAAGCCTCTGCCTTTGGCTCAGGTCATGATCTCAGGGTCCTGGGATCGAGCCCCACATCAGGCTCTCTGCTCAGTGGGGAGCCTGCTTCTCCCTCCCTCTTTGCCTGCCTCTCTGTCTACTTGTGATCTCTCTCTCTGTGTCAAATAAATGGATAAAATCTTTTTTTAAAAATGCACATTTTCCTTGTGTGTGCCTTTTTCTGAGAGAGGCTTCTTGACCTTTGTTAGATTCTCTAAGGGCTTGAAGACCCAAAAAGGTTAATGTCTGCTAGGTGAGGCAGGCAATACAGAACTGGTTTCTGGGATCATCTTCACTCTGAATCAACTTCCTTTGAGGGGCTAGCAGTAAACTGTAACTTTCCCCCATCCTGGCTTTGGATCAAAGAGAGGTCTGTCCATTTTGTTGTTAAACCTGGGAGCTAGAGACAGCCTGTATAGCCTGGTTCCAAGGATCCAGAAGAATTTCTTGCTTCCTGCCTTTCAGGTGTTCAGAATGCCAGGATTCCCTCACCAACTGGTACTATGAGAAGGATGGGAAGCTTTACTGCCACAAGGACTACTGGGGGAAGTTTGGGGAGTTCTGCCATGGATGCTCTCTGCTGATGACAGGACCTGTCATGGTGAGTGAGTCCCTCTTGGTCATTAGAGTCCATTGATGGCACCTCTGGTTCCCCATGGCCTTTCATCTTCTAGTCTTCCATCAGCCAAGCCCTCCCCTTTTATTTCTTTAGTCATTTAACAAATGTTTGTTGAATACCAGTTAAGTGCCAGGTAAGATCTTTCCCTTAAAAACTTAACAGTCTGATTTTGGGTGTGGGAGGGTGGGCAGGGAGGAAACACAATACAGTGCGGTGAAGACCTCAAAGGAGAGCATTACAGGTTGAGGAGGATACACTCAGGTTGTGTGCAGAGAATCAGAAAAGGAGACCCTGGAGTGGGACGCTAGAGAGAAGTTCCACCTTCCCTACCTGCTCCAGAAAAGGGCTTTAAGCCTAATCACAGATTTGCCAACCCTGTGTTGGAGGAATGGTCCCTTTCTAGTGGGGATGATGACTTCTGGCGACTTGCTTTCATGGATTAGACCAAAACATTTTGTAATCTCAGAAATGACAGGGAGGCACCAATCTGACTCGTCCTCTGGAAGCTCCTAGGGCAAGGAGTGCAAAGGTAGATTGTGACTGGGACCTGTACATCCTTGATTGAAGGTCACCTCACCTACCCCTACCCTCCAGCGGTGATGTCTGTCATCTTGTCGACCCTTCTCCCTATCTGCTAACAGGTGGCTGGGGAATTCAAGTACCACCCAGAGTGCTTTGCCTGTATGAGCTGCAAGGTGATCATTGAGGATGGGGATGCATATGCCCTGGTGCAGCACGCCACCCTCTACTGGTAAGGTGGTGTCCATCCTCCCCCTGCAAGAGTGGCCAAGAGAGAGAAAGAGGTGGCAGTGTGAGTTGGGCAGAAACAGCGAGCATATCACAGCACTGGATTCCTATCATTCCAATGCCTGTAACCACCTCTGTAATCAGTAAGCAAGACAGTTAACATCTCTCTGCCCTCTGTCCTCACCTGCTGTGAGAATAATGACACTTGGCCCTGGAGTCCTTCTGAAGGGAGAGTGGCTGGGAAGATGCTCTTAGAGAAGGATCCCAGAAAGTTAAAGGCAAAAGCCCCTTAAAATTCACTTGGTCCAATTACCTCAGTTGACAAAGAAGGCAGGCTGAGGCCCTAAGAAGGGAAGGGGGCTTGGTTCTCACTGAGTCAAAAGCAGAGCAAAGAGAACCCAGGTCATTGCACCCACATTCCCAGGCTACCCTAGAGACCCTGGGCTCCTCATTCTGAGCAGACAAGGATGGTAATAGCGGGAATGTGGGTACTATTGCTTGAAGCCACATGGTGCAGTAGTTGCTGGGGGCTTCCAGGTGGGGCTCCAGGATCTTAGCCCCCTTTATGTTCCTCTTCCCAGTGGGAAGTGCCATAATGAGGTGGTGCTGGCACCCATGTTTGAGAGGCTCTCCACGGAGTCTGTTCAGGACCAGCTGCCCTACTCCGTCACACACATCTCCATGCCAGCCACCACCGAGGGCAGACGGGGCTTCTCCGTGTCCGTGGAAAGGGCCTGCTCCAACTACGCCACCACTGTGCAAGTCAAAGAGTGAGTACTTTGAGGACCCCTAGAGCTGGACTTGTTACACAGAGCCCTTAGATGGAGCTCCAGGGGTGCGGAGTTCCCTTCACCCCCATCTCCTATCTTTCTCCTGGAGTTCGCTATGCTGCAACCCCACCTGGATCTTGGCACATACTCTTCCCTCTGACTCGGTTGCTTCCCACCAGATACCAATGCCGGAACAGCTCACCTTTCACATGTCAAGTTTCAGATCATGTTTATTCTTTGAAATTATCTGGCTTGAGTATGTGTATTAGTTTATCATCTGTCCTCCTGATGAGTTCCTTCTGGAACTTAGTCTTGTTCGGTATTGCATGCCCAGGGCCTAGAATGGTGCCTGGCATGTAGTACATGTTCACTGATTATTGTTTTGTTGGTTGAGTAAATGGAGGAAGGAAGAGAAAAAAGTTAAGACTTCATCCTAGGTCCAGGCCAGAGACCAGATAGGGAAAGAGTCTGTGTTTGTCTAATACCATTAATGAGGTACCTGTGGCTGCCAACCCTGTAAATAGTGATTGTGTGTTTAGTGTGTGCTGAGCACCAGGTGCTTGCAGTATAGGTGAGAGGTACGAGGGTTGGGGGAGTCATCAGGAAGTGAGATCTGCACTCAGACCTCATTAGATGAAGAGGGGAAGCCATTGTGTTCAGTGCAGAGGTGGGAGTCTGTGGTTGTGTCTAGTGTAGATTGGGTGGTTGGGAATAGCCAGAAAGGGGGCTATTAAGACATATAGGGATTATGAAAACGCAGGAGGTCTTTTGAGGGTTAAGCAGCAAGGTGATGCAACCCAATTAGTGTTCTAGAAGGATTGCTGGGATGGGTGCTGAATGGGAGAGGTGCAAGCCTGGTATTGTAGAGACCATTTAGGAGGCTATTGAAAGATCAGGTGAGAGGTGTTGGTAACTATGGTGATGAAGTGAAGACAGGGTTTTTGAAGACAGAGGGGGTTGGGGGACTCCAGGTAGAGAAGATGCCATCCAAGTCTCTGGCTTAGGCCACTGGGTGAGTGGGGGTGCCCTTCACAGAGGGCACCCTGTAAAGGACATTGCATTTCTCCTGTGAGTGGTTTGAGTCTTGAGGGCTGGTAGGAGCCTGGGGCGTGGTGAGCCTTCCTGCACAAGTGAAATTGGTCAGATACATTTTTAGGATGTCTTCGTCCTGCCTCAACTCTTGTCTGGCCCAGGGTCAACCGGATGCATATCAGTCCCAACAACCGCAACGCCATCCACCCTGGGGATCGCATCCTGGAGATCAATGGGACCCCTGTCCGCACACTCCGAGTGGAAGAGGTATAATGTGTGTCCTGTCTGTCACGTGAGGATGGGACGTGGAACAGACCCTCTGGGGCATCATGCTATGGCCTTTGCCTTTCTCCACCCCCAGTCTATCTCTTGTCTTGCCACAGAGCTTGTGACCACTGGTGACCTCCTCTGTCAGGCTGGCACATTCCAAGGACAGCAGGGATGGCCTGACAGATGAGATATCTGACAGTATGCCAGGGACAGGGCACTGGGGGGCTCCTGGCAGCTGGAGGCCACCATTAGCAAGTTGAACATTGGCCATAGTGTGCTTGGATCATCTGGGCTGACGGTGGGTGGCCTGGGTTGGGATAGCCTGTGGGAGCCAGCCTTACACTGTTCTTGGCTACAGGTAGAGGATGCGATTAACCAAACAAGCCAGACGCTTCAGCTCTTGATTGAACATGATCCTGTCTCCCAGCGCCTGGACCAGCTGCGGCTGGATGCACGACTCTCTCCCCACATGCAGAATGCTGCACACTCCCATACCGTCAGCACCCTGGACACCAAGGAGAATCTGGAAGGGACACTCAGGAGACGCTCCCTGAGGTGCTGCCTCCTATCCTGATTCCGTGCTGACCCATGCTTATCCCTCGGATGAGGTTGAGCTGGCTTTGGGAGGCTGGCAGGGTTAGGAAGGGAAACCGCTGGCCAGGGACGGGCCATGAGGATTGTGCTGACCCAGCTCCCCCCATGGGAGTCACAGTTTATAGCTAGGGCCTGTGTTTGATCTGACCCACTGGCTGCCAGGTTTCCTTAGAAACCGGAGAATCAGGCCCTGTCCACTGAACTCTCCTGAGCTGAACAGGAAGCACCAGTGCTGGCTCCTAAAGGACCAGCAAAGGGAGGCATGAGGCTCAGAGGCTGGAGTAGGGGCACAGGGAGGATTAATAAGTATAAATAAGAACACTGAAAACTATAAAGCAAGAAATGAATGCAAGCTGTTTTAGCTTTGAGGGACCAACATTTAAAACCCCAGAGTTGTCCAGGTGCAACAGGAGGGAGCACTTGCCCTGGATGCAGGTGCCAAGTAGGGAGACTGAAAGAACAGGAGTTAGACGCAGCAGCTGTCTAGATAGATACACCCATACCATGCCTTTGAGCTGAGCTCCCTCCCTTCACAAATCACTTCATCTCTTGAGCTTCTGTTTCTGCATCTATGAAGTGGGGTTGTAAGACAAAGATGGCTGTCTCACCAATTACATAAAGATTCAGTGTGGAAAGGGATGCAAAGTAGCACAGTGCCAGCAAAGGGTCAGCACTAAGTGAGGGTTGTTAGTATCATTAGGAGTCAAGTTCTCTATCCGCCCTCCTGATCAAACAAACAATCACTCAGGGCACTTGCCTGGCATCTGTTGGAAACAGGGCCCTCCCCACAGGTTGCTGGCATGAACTCCTGGCTGCCCTCTTGGCCTCGGCACAAGTGAGCTGGTAGAGTAGTGCGCCCGAGGGCAGAGAAGCCTTGAGCACGTGGGGGTAGCCAGAGAGCTGCTTAGATATCTGGAGGGCCATCATTGTGGGGGAGAGGGCAGCTCACCTTATGTGCTTCTGTGGGCGTGGTTGGTGGGCGGCAAAGAGTAGAGCAAGGGCTACGAAGCCTGTGGACGGTCCTTTCTCAGAGCCCAAGTGAGACAGGATGTACGGGAGAGAAGTTTTCAGGGTTGCAATTCACCTGCAGTGACTTCAGCCTTCTTGTCCCTTCTTCAAGAAGTCAGTAACAGTTACCAACCATTACTGTTATGGACTGCTCTTAAAAATGTAAATATATTGGCTCTGTTGCTGTAAGAATCATCCATGCTCATTATTTTAGAATTTGGGAAATGTAGACAGGTAGAAAGATGAGCAAAATAGCCAGAATCCCATGTCATTTTTTTGGATGGTGGTAGGCTCTCTAACCCATTTTAGCACTTTGACTCAAGCAGACGTGAGAAGTGGTGGACTGCCACCTTACAGCGCTGTCACATGTTGAGTGCTGTAAGCTAGTAACAGTCATTCCAGGTGAGTACTCAGGGTTCCTGCTTTTTTTAAAAAATTTTATTTATTTATTTATTTATTTATTTATTTATTTATTTGACAGAGAAATCACAAGTAGGTGAGCAGGCAGAGAGAGGGGAAGCAGGCTTCCCACTGAGCAGAGAGCCCGATGTGGGGCTCGATCCCAGGACCCTGAGATCATAACCCGAGCTGAAGGCAGAACTTTAACCCACTGAGCCACCCAGGCACCCCAAGGGTTCCTGCTTTGATACTTAAATAAACTGCCGATGTTTGCAGCCCCAAAATGGTACATCTGTCTGATGTAAGAGTTCCTTCCCCTCATCATAGCACCAGAACTACAGACATTGGGATTGGAAGGGTAGTAGGGTGGCCTTAAGGTTTCTACTTCCAGGGTTTTACTGGCAGGTCTCTGAGGACTACCCTAGCCCTATGCTCATCTTTCTTCATCTTTAGGCGTAGTAACAGCATCTCCAAGTCCCCTGGCCCCAGCTCCCCAAAGGAGCCCCTGCTCTTTAGCCGTGACATCAGCCGCTCAGAATCCCTCCGCTGTTCCAGTAGTAACTCACAGCAGATCTTCCGGCCATGTGACCTGATCCACGGGGAGGTCCTGGGGAAGGGCTTCTTCGGGCAGGCCATCAAGGTGAGCACAGGCAGTAGCTGCTCTGCTTTTCTGCCCCCAACCTCTCTCTCACCTTCTTTCGGGGAGTTCTCATCACATGCTCTCACTCCACACGCTACAGGACACCAGGCCCCTTTCCTGGCTGCAGGTGATGGTGTGAGGGCTACACTCTGGCCCTCCCAGGCCACCTAAAGGCAGCGTTGCTGTCACAGTGAGCTTGGTGGACCTGGAGACCCAGGTTGGGATGAATTGTGCCCATGGTTCTGCCACCTCCAGTCAGCAGATGTTTTTAGGTACCCTGAGGCCTCAGTGCTGGGCATATTGCAGGGAGCACACGGGGGAGTGGCTCTTGCCTCCCTGATGAACAGTCTTGGGGACTAACCTCTCTCTCTTTCTCTCCTCCTCCTCCTCTGCTGAGAGCTGGGAGGGGGGGTCAGGTAAGCTGTGTGTCTCAGCTTTCAGGGCCTTGGGGCTGGAGAGCTCACCCTGACCCACCCAGCTCCCTGGTGCATGTCTGTGGCACTGACCCTCCTGTCCCTAGACTTCTATTCGCCCAAGGGATTCACTCCTGTGTCAGATGACCAGAACGCCTGCTTGGCTTGGCAGTGTCCCCTCCTGCCTCCTACACTTCCCTTTTCTGCATTCTCGCCTCCCCTCTGTGCATGCCCAGCTCTCCAAGGAAGAGGGTATGCTCCCCTCTGAGGCCCCTGTTACCTCATGCTGTGTCTTCTACAGATGAACTCTGTCAGTCTGATCTGGCTCAGTGTGTCTTCCAGGGGATGGGATGCTCAGTTGCATATATTTCCACACAGTTCACCAGGACTCTGTGCCAGTAATAGTTGCCCTCCTTTGTAACTAGGTAACACACAAAGCAACTGGCAAAGTGATGGTCATGAAGGAGTTAATTCGGTGTGATGAGGAAACACAGAAGACTTTCCTGACTGAGGTAAGAGGATGGGGTGGTGGGAGTTAGGAGTTCGGTGTCACTGTTGGAAGAGGGAAAGATCTTAATAAATAACAGTTTCAGAGGAAGCTATTTTATTTTAAGATTTTATTTATTTATTTGACAGAGAAAGACAGCGAGAGTAGGAACACAAGCAGGGGGAGTGGAAGAGGGAGAAGCAGGCTCCCCGCTGAGCAGAGAGCCTAATGCAGGGCTCTATCCCAGGAACCTGGGATCATGACCTGAGCTAAAGGCAGACACTTAATGACTGAGCCACCCAGGTTCTCTGGGAGGAAACTTACTCTGGGAGGAATCACTTTCTTAAAAGCAGAGGAGAAAAGAGCTCTAGAGGAATGGGTAATTATCTGTTCAGTGAGCATTTACTAATAACAGCATGATCTGGGTACAAAGGATACAGTAACAAATGGGATGTGGTTCAGAGGAGCTTACAGCTAGTGGGGGTGATGGACATGAAAACAGACCAGTTTAGGACAACTAGGAGTTACACTCACCACCTGAATACCCTGCTAAGGGAGCCTGGAGTGGGGCCTCCCAGAGAACTGTCATCTCTGGAGTGTTTACACAGTTTTTACCACCCTTCCCAAGTTGTTCCATTCCTTTGGTTGGTATTCCTGTGGTCTGGCCATTGCTCTCCAGGCCTTTGTTTTACTCTCAAACCCTCCTATTCCAGTTCCCCCCAAATAAAATTCCTAGAAAAGCAGGATCCCAAGGGTGAGGCCTCTGAGGCATCCCTATCCATGTGGAAGTATTCTATCCTATCACATAAGACTGGAGGCAGGAGACGCAGGTGACACTTGTCAGACTAGCTCCCTGGAGGGAAGGGGATAAGGAAGACATAGTAGGAAGTAACCATCCACCCTCCTTGGCCTCTACCACCCCCAGGTGAAGGTGATGCGAAGCCTAGACCACCCCAATGTGCTCAAGTTCATTGGTGTGCTATACAAGGACAAGAAGCTGAACTTGCTGACAGAGTACATTGAGGGGGGCACGCTGAAGGACTTTCTGCGCAGTGTGGTAAGCAAACCACCTTCACGTCTTTGCTTACAAAGGGTCATGCTGGGCAGGACTGGGCACAGGCAGGGAGGGTTCACTGGCAGACCACGTTCACCATGGGGGCTGGATTCCAAATGGGACAGGGTCCCACAGCCTCTGATGGCATTCCTTCATCCCATAGGACCCGTTTCCCTGGCAGCAGAAGGTCCAGTTTGCCAAAGGCATCGCCTCTGGAATGGTGAGTTCTGCCAACAACTGCCAAGGGTGGGAGTGAGGGGCGAGGCGGGCTGGGGAGTCAGGATAGCTGCAGGGATTATAGGCAGGGGCCGGAAGGCAGAGCCTTCCCCCAGCCTGGGCAGCTTGTGTGGCCTGGGTCAGTCAGCAGCTATTTAATGAGCTTCTCTCAGTGCCTGTGAAATTGTCCCCAGTTGCCTTCTCTTCACTCACAACCTACTCTCAACGAGTTCTAAATCCTTAAGGCAAACAGGGCATGGGTAAGGCAAATTAGTAGTGTCCAGCTGCTGCGGGAACTTGGCACAGGTAGAGAACCTCATGGCCTATGAAATCAGAGAGGGGGATATATGTTCTAGTTAAGCCTGAAAGATGGATCAGAATTAGATAAAAGTTCCTCTTGGCAGAGAGGCCCCAAGGTTGAGGTGATGACAGCAGCACAGACCTGGGAGGAGGTAGGAGGAAATAGTGTGTTTCACCTGGGAAAGGAGACCAGTTATAGTAGTAATACCAGTGACTATTGCTGAGTGCTTCCTATATGCCACGCACTGAGCTGAGGGAGTGACATGTATGTATGTGTTCCTCATGACAACCCCAGTTTCCAGATGAGAAGCTGATGCTAGAAAGGGACAGAGCAAGGAGATTAGGCTTGTCAGTCTGACCCCCAAGCCTGAGATTTTAATCACTGCTCTTCATGTGGGGTCCATGAAGACTGTTAGTCTGGAGATACATGAAGATCCCTGTGTTTCAGACTACAGAGTCTGGATTTTATTTAGGAAGCCAAAAAGACGGGAGTAAACGATACTTAAGTTTTGTGAGCAGAGCTGTGGTTTTTTTTTGTTTGTTTGTTTGTTTGTTTTTAATATGAGTCCGGTGCAGTCAGTAGGTGGGGATCAAATTAGGAGAACCGAAGGCAGGGAGACCATGGGTGGGGATAGTGAAACATTTCGGGTTTCTGAGTTAAGGTATGGCTGTGGGGATGGGAGACTGGGAGGCAGGGTGCAGAGAGACTAGTTGGCAGCAAGGGAGCAGAGGTAGGGGGAGGAGGAGTTGGGGTGGCTTGAGGTACCTAGAAGAATGGGGGTCATTTACCAGATGTTTGATGGGGCAGTGATGTTGGGGAAACAGGCTTAGGAAGAGCTAGTGTTGGCTGAGGCTGATGTGTGGTTAGTAGGGGTCAGCATGTGTAGAGAAGGTGGCTTTGAGGAGGGTGGAAGGAAAATGTGGGCACGTTAAGAGTCTCAGGAGTAGGTATCATGGGCGAAGTGCAGGCAGCTTTTGGAGAAAGGACAGGCAGGCAGGTCACAAGAGCTACAACGTTCAGGAAGTGCTCCCTGGGTATGTGAGCAGAGCCAGGAACCTCTGGGTGGAAGGGATGGAAGCAGTATTGTAAGGGACTGGAGGGGGTGGTGTAGGTAGCTCCTTCCACATTCTCTGGGGAAGGGAAGAGAAAGAAAAGGAAGTGGCTGCAGAGTGACAAGAGCCAGGAGTGGAGGCCTGGATGTTGTGGGGGCGGGGAGTGGAATAGCAGAGATTTGCATGAAAACATTGGGGTAGGAAGAGGGAGAAGTTAAAGTGTAGACAGGGAAGAGCAAGGAGCGTGCTGAGACTCAGGGAAGGAGAATGTTAGGAATATAGAACCAGCTAACCAGGGGGAAGTCACTGCTTCCCCTATGACAGGAAGGATCCAGGGCAGCTGAAGCCAGAGATTGGGGTGAGGATGGCAGTGAAGGGGCCTAGGAGCAGTGCATCTGAGGGCACTCACTTCAGGTGGGTAGAGGGGCTGGGAGCATGCAGGAGCCAGGGCCCATAGAGTTGGGGACTTTGGGAGGGAGCTGTGAGGGTCTAGAGCAGCCACTGGGTTGGGGTCAGTGAACAAAGGATAGTCAGAAGGTGGTAGCAGGAAGAGAGAGGAAGCCCAGGCAGCCTTTAGCTTTCTATTGGTGTTGGGACAAGGGAGTGACTACAGGAGGCCCTCGCCCTAGGGTCCAGGTTGGGTTCTGAAGCTGAGTAGGGATGGCCTGGGAGAAGAGCATCCCCCAGTTGCGGAGTCTGCAACTGCTTCAATTACTGGCCATTGGCCTCAGTTGGTACTTCTGTTCCAGGCCTATTTGCACTCCATGTGTATCATCCACCGGGATCTGAACTCACACAACTGCCTTATCAAGCTGGTATGTCCCACCACCCTGAGTCTCCCTGGGGCCAGCCCTCTTGCCGTGTCACAAAGGAGACTTATTGTCCCCTTGTGCTTTGACCTAAGTTGTCACCTAGGGCTCCTGTCTTACCCTTCCTGCTGCACCTCATGCTCTCCTCTGTCTTCTGGGGCTCTCAAATAGATGCCAACACAGTTACACCTCCTCCCAGTAGCAGGCTTTGAAATCCTTTGGTCAGAGGGAGTTCCAGAAGTTCCTTAACTGTATATAAAGCCCTGTTGTTTTTCCTGGTTCCATCCCATGGTAGTTCTGTAATGCAGCTCCCTACACACCCTGTTCTATAGCTGTGGCACCTCGAAGCCTCACTCTGAGGCCACACAGCTGGTAAATATACAGTGGCCAGTTTGGGGCCAGCATTTTTCTCCACCACCCATCAGCTCTGGTTGTTAGCAAGTCTTTTCTCCTGTTAGCTTGCAGTCTAGCTCCCTGGGTGTCCAGTAACTGGCCCTGGCTGGATGACCCTCTGGGTCCATACTAAATAATCTTAACCCTTTTCCGCATGACTGCCCTGGAGCTATTTGAAGAACTTATCTCTCCCCAAGTTCCCCCACTGACTTCTCCACCTTATCTTTTTCTGTCTTATCCTGGTTCTAGCCAGGCCTTAAATCTGTTGGGGAACAAGGCAGAATGGTGAAAGAGAGAAAGAAAAATCCCTTTTTCTGCCCCTGAGTTCCACTTTCCAGATCCCAGAGCCTTACCCCTCCAGGCTCCAGGATATCTGCTGTGAACACCCCAAGGTCTGGGGAATCTGTTACGCAGATGCAGACTTTTAGAAAACAAATAACTAAGCCTTGTCAGCCAGAGAGATCTTTAGCTGTGACTCCCCTTTACTACATACCTTTTCTCCCTTTCTCAATGACTTCTCTTGGTAATGTCCTCACCAAGCCCTTACCTGGCCCTTGTCCTACCAGGACAAGACCGTGGTGGTGGCAGACTTTGGGCTGTCACGGCTCATAGTTGAGGAGAGGAAAAAGCCCCCAGTGGAGAAGGCCACCACCAAGAAACGCACCTTGCGTAAGAATGACCGCAAGAAGCGCTATACAGTGGTGGGAAACCCCTACTGGATGGCCCCTGAGATGCTGAATGGTGAGTCCTGACACTGGACAATGGAGGGGAGTTGGGGTCCACATCTTGGATCAGAGTCCTGGGTGTTCCAGGGGAGGCCTGTGAAGTGTAAGGCCAGGTACCCACATCTGATGGCTAGATGATTTATCCCTTGCCAGACTGGATCTCGTAAACTCCTTCCTCCCTGATCTCCTGGACCTAGGGTGAGATCTGACTGACTTGTGCCCCAGGGGTAGCTGAGAACTCGGGGTGTTTATTGCCAGAGATTTTGCCTTTTCTTTCATCCTGCTGAGATCTGAAGTATGGTGCCCCCTTGTGGACAATGTTCAAACCAACCAGAGATTACTGGGGCTGGGATTCTTGAACTGAACTGGGTTGTGAGGCCTCAGAAATGGCCTGATTCAACTGTTTTATGGAGTCAGAGGCCCAGAGAAGTTCAGTGGCTTGCACAGGAACATACAACTAACTAATGACAGAGTGCAGGTCAACCCCGATCCAGTTCTCTTTCACTGTCCCATGCAGTTTCATTTTGGGCAGTGTGTTTTATAAGACTCTGAGGCAGCCCACGCAGGGCTGAGGAAAGACAATATTCAGGGGGTGCTTTGTCCTGGGCAGCCTTTACGGCATCCCAGCGGAGCCTGTTCTAGCCCTGGTTCTTGGCTGTGGCCTGGTTTGGCCCCAGACTCAGTACAGAGTGGGTAAGAGACTAAACCTAACAGCCTGCTCTCCTGTGTTCCCCCAGGAAAGAGCTATGATGAGACGGTGGATGTCTTCTCTTTTGGGATCGTTCTCTGTGAGGTGAGCTCCAGCCAGCACAGAGGCCAGGCCTGAGGCAGCAGGCCTAGTAGTTCTGCCCTGCCTTAGTACTGGGACTACTGCTCCTCATGATGAGCATTTCCACCATAAAATCCGCACGAGTGGTGTAGGGTTGTACAGTGTATCACACATCTCTTGACACACTGGAATCTCCTTGGTCCCGTGAGAAGGATTGGGCAGGGTTTTTTCAGGTGAGGAAACAGGCTCAGAAAGGGGCAGGGCCTTGCTCTTAGTCCCATAGCCAGTAAGGGACAGATGAGAGGGTCCTTAAAGTTGTCCGACTAGCTCTTGGTCCAGATGCAACCTTTCCCTTTGGTCTCCCTTCCCTGGGTCCTAGTAGTGCCTTGGTCCTCAGCCCCACAAGTGGAAGTAGCCACTGCAACAAGTGCCAGCCTGTCTAGCACAGTACTGAGCACTAGGGGTGGACACAGTGAGTCTTGGAAAGATCTCTGCCATTAGGAGCTTAGCTCAGTGTGTCTGTAAACGGTCAAGCACATATGTTCAGAGTCTTCTGTAATTCCTACAAATGGTGAGAGGAGACAAGGGACAGTTGGAATAATGAAGGAGGGTTTTTTAAAAATTATTTTCTTTAATAGAAGTCAGTTGAACATTTATTGTGTGCAAAGCACAAGGCTGCCACTGAAAGGTTGCAGACATGAATCTGACCCAGGACCTCACTTCCCAGAGCCTGAACTCTGACAGGGGACATAGACATGAGGGGACACAGCAGGGCAGAGTGGGATGTGTGGAACTGCCTCTCCAATTTGAAACCTTTTGCTTCTACTACAGTGAAGCCTCTTCTAAACCCTCCTCAGTAACCAGATTCTGAGTTGAGAGAAGAGTCTGAATTAGTGACATTTGGGCATGGGGGACAGTTCTCTAATCTTGATTTTTATCTCCCTCTTCTACCCATCCTTCTTGTCTATACACTAGTATCCCATTCCCCTGTGACCACACCTACCACGGTCCATTCCTGACCAGCCATCTTCTCATCTGCAGATCATCGGGCAGGTGTATGCAGATCCTGACTGCCTGCCCCGAACACTGGACTTTGGCCTCAACGTGAAGCTCTTCTGGGAGAAGTTTGTCCCCACAGACTGCCCCCCAGCCTTCTTCCCCCTGGCTGCCATCTGCTGCAAACTGGAGCCCGAGAGCAGGTTGGTATCCTGCCCCTTTCCGCCAGCTCACACAGGCCTGGGATGGTTGCCCCAGCCTTGGCCATCCCCAAGCCCTTGCCAGGTACAGGGGTGGCAAAAGCCTTGAGCTCAAGGATGCGGCTGTCAACCACTGAAGCCGCCCTAACACTTCTGACCTGCCCAGTGGGGTGCTGAGGGGGACAAGGGCATAGCCATGAGTGACCTAGATATAACACAGACACAGCCATGAAAACAAATTGTAACAGAAGAAAATTCACAGAATAAGTGTTTTTCATGTCCACCTTTGTCCAAATACATATAGTTATACTCTCAAATAAAGAAAAGTTTTATATTTTGCCCTGCATTTTCCTTGTTACTACCCAGTCTTCCTGTTTATCATTTTTTTTTGACTATGTGAACTTCAGTTCAAGAGACTGTCCGAACATATTATAATATACATAATGTAGATACTAGGGTTTTTTTCAGTTTTTCCTTATAATAGGTAATACTGCAGTGAACGTCTTTATGCATTCAGCTAATCATCTCCTTTAAAGAAAATTCTTTAAATGACCTTTATTCATCTCAGGTTATGGTTTTCATTATTGTCAGCACTACCCCAGTTCTTTCCAAGTTTCTGCATTAGACAACTAGAATCTGTGCCTTTTTTTTCCTGCTCTCAAAAATCCTTTCTTTTAAACAAATTCAAGGGGCACCTGGCTGGCTCAGTCAGTGAACCATCTAATTCTTGATCTCAGGGTTATGAGTTCGAGCCCACTTTGGGCATAGAGATTATTTAAATAAGTAAATCTTCAAAAAAAATTCATATATGACTAAAATAGCACAGAAAGTGCACATTTTCTGTGATTATCTAACCATTATGCCCCTCAGCTCTCCTCATTCTCCTCCATCCCCTCAGGATAACCAGTTGGTACATAGCCTTTATTTTAAAATGGTTTCCAAAGGTCCATGTTAGAGTTGGAATTTGCTGGTGAGAGGCTCTACATTTTGTTCCTTCATGGGCCAAAGGACTGAGGTCCTTCAATAATACCAGAGTAAGAGCATGAGGAGAAAATGTGAAGCTACATAGTATTTGTTTGCTAACGGCCCTTCCTAGTCATTTTAATTGTCCATGTTTAATTCACTCAGAAAATACTGAGTGCCTACCCTGAGCTTGACATGGTCCTGTCCTCCTGGAACTCACATTCTCACAAGGAGAGATGATAAGCAATAGGTAGAATACCCTTCACTGAATATTAGGAAGTGACAAATGGTATGGAAAAAAGAGCAGAACTGAAGAAAGAGGGATGTGTAGAGTGCGAATTGTAATTTTAAATACGGTGGTGAGAGTGGGCCTTGCTGAGAAGGTGACAAGATGGTTAAACAAAAACATGGAGGAGGTGGAGGAGTAAGCCTGAGCTGGCTTAGGGTTCCAGGCCAGCTAAGCTGTTTCCACAGCACTGGGAGCCTGCTGTTTGTTTTCCCCTTGGGAAGAGCTGCTGAGTATGAAACGTCCCTTCCTGAGCAGATCCATTGATGTGGAAACAGTCTGAGGACTGGAAAGAACCTTTAAAAAGGCACTTAGTCCAATTCCATCTTTGATGATTGATTGCATTTTCTCCAAGACATGAGACGAGCTTTTTTCCCCCTGGACCTTCTTTTTTTAAGCTACCCCCTCGAGCAAGGCCATCCTTGTCACAGTGCTATCTCTCATCTTCACAGCAGCCCTACACAGTAGCTGTAAAGTTATGTAACCTCCCCGCTTCCTGCAGAGGCACAAGGTTAAGGGGTTTGCCCAAGGTCACGCAACTAGGAAGTGGTTGAGCTGCAGGCCATACACAGCATCCGTGGCCCTGCCCTTGTCTCACCTGCCTCCAACTCACCCCCCCCCCCTTTTTTTAATAGACCAGCATTCTCAAAACTGGAGGACTCCTTTGAGGCTCTCTGCCTGTACCTGGGAGAGCTGGGCATCCCGCTGCCTGCAGAGCTGGAAGAGCTGGACCACACTGTGAGCATGCAGTACGGCCTGACCCGGGACTCACCCACCTAGCCCTGGCCCAGCCCCCTGCAGGGGGGCGTTCTGCATCCACCATTGCCCCCTCTGCGCCCCATCCCTGCTGTGGGCAGGGTCACCCGGGCTTCCTGTGGATTGGCAGCTTGTTTAGAAATAGAACAAGCCATCCCTACTACCTCCCCAGGAGGCGAGCGGGTGCAGCACCAGGAAAACACATCAAGGTTTGGGGGCCTGGTTACTGTCTGTAGATCCAACACTCGCCTGAAAGCTGTGAAGAAAAAAAAGAAAAAAAAAAAGAAAAAAAAAAGCGTGGCCCATGGGCCAGGAGGAATCTGTTACTTGTGACAACTTGGGACCTCCCTGGCATTGGGATTCCAGGAGGCTCTTCCTTACACTAATCAGCATGACCTGGACCTGCTGGGCAGGATTCCAGGGTGAACCTGCCTGTGGGCTCTGAAGTCTCTAGTCCAGCTGGGTACAGGAGGACTTCAAGTGGAAGTGTGGACAAGAGAAAGGCTGGTGGCCAGGCGGCTGTCCGAGGATGTGAAATGACAGTGGTGCTACCCCTCCCCTTCCACTCTGTGTCCCACCCACCCTCCTCTGGGATAGGGGTTCAGGCGTCAGGTTTTGAAGAGTCCCTTCGTTTGTGGTGGAACTGGCCAGGAGTCAGGGGAAGGGCTAGTTTGCTCATCTCCCAGGCCTAGGGGCCACATCAGTGTGAGGGGGAGCTTCCTCCTCACGCTGTCAAACTGTACTGCTAGAGGCTCGCTGAGAACTCCTGGGCCTCTCTACCTGCAACAAGCACTCACTCACAAATGCAGCAAGAGACTGGGGCCTGGAGAGAAAGGGGCCCTGCCCTTTAAAAAGCCCATACCCTGGCTGCTGTCATTCATTCCCCTGGTGGGCACCTCAGTCAGAAGCCCAGACCCTTAGCTTAGTGCTGGGTGGGTTATGGAGGATTGTGTGGCTTGCCACAGGCCCAGCAAATGAGCCAAGAGAATGGCTGTCTCAGCAGTCTCAGCCCTTCCCTTGTGGCAGCCATTGCTCCCCCTTCACCATGCCTGGTCCAGGCAGCAACTTGGGCAGGAAGAGGTAGTGGCAGAGTGGAGCTGGGATGCTGGGGGAGGTTGCTCCCTAGTTGGGCTTTCTGGCTTCTACCTCCCTTGTTGGTTGGCCCAGCTCATTAGCTCCTTGTAGCTCATGGCTGCAGCTTCCTGGCACAGCTATGGGCACTCAAAAGCCCTGGAGGCATGCTCTACATTGGCTCCCAGAACTTCAGGAACCCTTCAACACAACAAAATTTGCCACCTCCTGTGTGTCTGTGAGCTTGCACCATATTTAACAAATTGGGAATGGGTTTGGGATATTATTGCAATGTGTGGTGGTTGTGTTTTTTGGGGGGAAAGGGGAGGTAATGGGGGGGGGAGTGATCCAGGAGAGTGGTTGATGTTAATACCGTTTTTGTTGCTTTATCTGTTGGGTGATATGTGAAAATACTGTACATAGACCTGATAAGTTGTGGGATTAGATGTCCTCTTTGGACAGAGTTTACCTGCTTTATAGACCATACTTATGTGTGGAGTGTGCAAGCTTGCTGTAGGGTTGAGTCGTGGCTCTGAGCAACCCTAAGTCAGCTGGTTGTGCCTCAGCTGTCCCCAGCAAGCATGGGAATGGTGGGCCCATGGTGGGCCATTGAGCAGACCAAATAAATTAAGCAGTTAACATAAGTGATGTTACTGAGAATGAAAAATTGACTTGGGGCCTGACTCAGCAGGAGGATAAACACGTGGGGAGGGGGTGGTCTGCTGGCCACTTTCAGGCCCCTGCCTGATAACTCCCCACAGCGCGGGGACTTCTCATGCCCCACCCCACCTCCGACTCCCTTTTATATAGACACCAATCTGCTCCAAGGAACAAGGCAACCCAGTCCTTCATTTGGGGACAGCGCTTCCACCCTCTGATGCACGTATATTCCTATAAACCTGGATATCCTCTCTGCAGGGCTGGGTGCCACCTTCATAAAGGGAAGAAATGAATGCAAGTCACCTCCACCCCTTGTGTTTCCCTTCAAGTGATTGAGAGAAGACCTGCCTTGCTTCTGCACATGGGAGATAGGGAGCACTGGACAGGATATCTGGCCAGTAGGATCCTGGGCACAGTATAAATCCATATAACCCGAAGGTGATTTCTCACAAAGCTTGGGGAGCTCAATTTAAGGACAGAACCTGGTTTCTGGCTAAACTGATAATCTAGGGTATCCCTTGTTTGTAGAAGTATAAGCAATGTCTAGGCGTGGGCAGAGATCACCCTGGGTGTTCCAAGAGGTAGAGAACATGTTGCTGAAATCTCATGCTGAAAGTCCAACAACTTCTATTGGTAGCTTCTTCTGGAGCCCTAGGAGTTAACCCCACAGGGGACTTCCTCTAAGCTACAGCTCTCCCTGCAGCCCAAGGACCATCCCCCTCTTTGGCTGCTGCAGCACCACCATCCATTACTTCTGTCTCCAGCCCCTACTAAGGGCTGCCTGGATGTTCATTTTAATTAACTCCACTTTGGGAAGAATGCTGAGGTGGGAAATTTGCAGTGACCAAAATCACCTGTGGGGAAGCCAGCATACCCATCTTTCCTACAGCTTCAACCTGAATGATTCCTAGTGATGACAGAACGCAGAGGCAGCAGTTACCCACCACTCAGTTGCTGCCTCCCCGTTACAGGGCCAGGGTTAATGATGGACAGAGAGCCAGCACTTGCCACACAGGTGTGGACAAGGTAACCAAAAACCAGCCACCTTATAAGAGGAGTGTCCTGGTACCCCATGAAAACTTGGCGATACAGAGTTTTTTGGGTTGTTTTGTTTTGTTTTTTAATTTATACAAGTCAAATGCAGAGCAATCTCCCGCACTGTATATGCAGGTATCAGAATGAGGTATATAAAACATGTACACAGAGAAAATGCTTTTATAGAAAAGTAGAAACCAGTAATGTACTGTTCTTCTCTTCAGCATCGCTAACACCAAGGGACCCATGAGGCCTAGGTCCCCTCAGCAAACCACTCCCAGAAATAGTCTGCTGAAGAGAATGGGCCCTACTGACCCCCCTCTCCATGTGGGGCAGTGGAAGGGCTTTGGGAAGGAAGCACTGGATAGGGAGCACTGCTAAGGCCTCCAAGTGTGACATCAGGGCTTGGAGGCCCTGCTGAGCCATTGGCTCAGGGCAGCACAGTGCTGTGGAGAAATGTTACTCTCCTCTTGGCCATGCCAGCAGCTTGCTCTATGACCTTGAGCATTACTTTCCCCCTATGGGCCCCTGTGTCCAAAGACTTGAGGAACCCTAAGGTCCCTTCCAATGGTTCTGATTTAGAAGTTAGGGGTTGTGATCCTAGCTCTACTACCCCAGAGGAATGCACTGGCCTGGAGGCCACAGAGCCACCTGCAAACTCTGAGCTTAGTTTCTGAGTTAAGCAGAAGCAGCTCACAAGGCCCCACAGTGTAATTCCCATAGGTTGGTTAGCTGTTGTCTTACCCCTGAAAAATGAAGAGGTCATTATCCACCCTGAACAGAGACTGTCTAGGGTACCCCAGGTCCCCCTCAGGTCCTGTGGCCTCAAGCAGCCGCAGATCCTTTTCTACCCTCTTCCCAAGTGGAATGTTCAATGTGATTCTGAATCCCTTCCCTTCTTTTTGAAATAGAGTCCCTGGGCCCAGAGCCAGCCCATGGTTATCAAGGCACATCACCACCAGCAAGCTGGAGCACACCCAGGACCCCCAGCCTAGATCCCATTCTCAACCCACAGTTTTGACTTCTGTATGAACTCATTTCTGGTTCTCGGAGGTCAGTTGGGAGTTCCATCCCAACTATTTTAAAAACTAAATATATTTTTTAAATACTGCCTCTTGACCTGCTTGGCCTGAACTATGGATAACAGTATGCGCCACTCAAGCCCACAGAGAACAAATGGAAGGGCAGAGACTGAGGCCATCTTAGATAATAAAGCACAGAGGAGCCTGGGGGAGCTCCTTGTCTGTCCCTGGTTCAGTTCCAGGGCACAGGCAATGTTTGGAAGCCCTTGTCAGCAGCACTGCTGTGTGGGCTGCTGCTGTCTCCATCCATAGGCAAAATCCTGCTCCAAGGGATGGAGGAGGAACACTGGTAAGACCCTGCCCAGCCTCGCCCCCCCTCAGCACAACACCTGCTTCTGTTTTAGAATTTAAAAAAAAAAAAAAAGGTCGAGGGTCGGTTTTAACCACAACAGAAAGTGTAGCTCCTCCCAACTGTAGGAGGGTAGGCTGTCCTGTACCAGTATCTGCCTGGGTTCCTGCCCATTATTGGTGGCTCAGGCCCCAGGAGTGCCTGCCTGACCCATGAGGGGAGCACTACCCTCCTGAAGGTCCACTGGAGTCTGGTTGGTGTGGACCACAATAGTCTTCTCATCCACGATCTCACAGGTAGGGTTGGTGAAAGCAGACAAGGGCAGGGTAATTCGCTGCATCTCCCTCTCACACACCTGCTGGTCATGCTGCTCTTTCAGGTCCTTCCCCCTGGCAGGAAAAGAAGGTAGCATTCAGGCTGTGCCTCCCAAGTGGCTTTGCTCATTAAATAGCATTGCTGCACCCAGGAAGAGGCAAGGGCTAAGCATAGTCAGAGCAAATCGGTGGCTGATATATGAGATTTCCATTCTGCCAGACTGCCTTAACAAGAAGCTCCCACACCTGTGGTCTCTGCTTCCTCATCTGTAAAACTGGTGTATAGTAGCGTGGACCTCACACAGCTGTGGACAGGCTCAGTGAAGACAGTGTAGAGGGGAGAGACTGAAAGCAAGATATGGTTTTGCTCTTTCAGCCAAGGGCTCCAAGAGACCCAGAGAACCAACTCAGTGAACCATCTCAGTCCTAACTCATAAAGTTGTGCAGAAAACTGACCTATTCCAAGACAGCTATCTTATTCTAAAGTTCGAGGAAGATGTGAGCACTGGCTGGAAACAAGGACTGTCCCCAGCCCATGCAGGGGGTAAAAGGGACTAAAGGCTGTTCAGGTCAATAGGAGACAATGAAACAGTGACTATCAGATCCCTCCATGTTCACGCACCTTTGAATTCTCATAGTGCTCAGTGACCCAATCAGACCATGACATTGCCCATTTTATTCAAATGGGAGTGCTCACTCCATGCTAAGAACTTTGTGTACATTATCTCACTTCATTCTTGGCTGAACCCCAGCAATTAGGTCTTATCATTCATTTTAGAGATGAAGAAATAGCTCAGAGAAGTGAAGGAACTCTCCAATAACCTAATGGGCTCAAACCCAAGTCCATTGGACTCCAGCTGATACTCAGGGAAGTTCTGACCTGATCAGGGTCATCCCAAAGAAATGGTGGCACAGGGACTCAAACCTAGTCTTCTGGCTGCACATGTAGGGCCCTTCCCACTGGCCTGGACCACGCCTGTTGCAGGCCAAAGAGTTTGGTGAGTGCCTAGCACACTACACACCAGAACCAATACTCAGGACCTAAATCAGCATACTCTGAAGTCACAACTAGACACAGATTTCAGAGGAAACCTTCCTAGAAGGAGCCCACCCCAAAGAGGCTTTGAAATAGGCAGCTGATGGATGACTTGGTGAAATAACACAGGCCTGCTTCAGACCTCAGGGAGAGCAGATGAATTACACATCCATCATATGAGGTACAATGACAAGTTTCTGGAGACTGAGGGATATTGAGAAAACAGCAGGACCTGGAGGGGGTGGAGTCTGCACAGGTGCCTCAGAACTATCTGTAAATCAACCAATTCTATTGCATTCTAGTACCAGCCTTGGCTGAGTGACACCTGGCAAAACACTTAGCCTTGCTGAGCCTTGGTTTCCTCAGCTGTGATATGGGACAATATCTGTCTCAAAATAAGATAATGAATGTGAATGCATTCTGAAAACAGCAGAACTTCTGTAAAACTCACAGAGGAGGTTATGATTTGCCCTGAATATGAGTGACTCACCAAGCCATGTTATCTTAATCTGTTTCCCAAGGAAACTCCTACTGACCAGCCAAGGCAATTATTGTTTATGTGACCTCAGCAGCTCCCCTTCTTTCTGGACCTTAATTTTATCATTTGTAAAACAAGGACTTGGGCTTGATAACCTTCATGGCCCCTGACATGTAAGATTCCTCACATGAGATGTGCTCTGATTGCCTATTTTTCATTGTAAGGTCACAGAAGGCAAATTTGTGAGCTCATCTCCCTGAGTCACCCTGGGTGACTGAGTTTCTGCATATGCAAGCCTAAGGCACTTACCCCATCCTTATCATTAGCCTCTGTACTGGATACCACCAACTCCTGCAGCAAAATAACTCCCAGAGCACCCCGAAAGGAAATGGAGGGACATGGGAAGATGGCTGTCTGGCCCAAGTGTATGCCCACTCAGCCTAACATTCACTTTGCCCTCTGCTCATCAATTACAGCTGCCACCACAGAAGGAAACACCTCCTTCCATAATAAAACAAAAAGCCAGATTCTTCAAGGTTGCCCAAGTAAGGAAAAACTTGGAAGGTCTGGATTTAATTTTATTAAGGGAACCCCAAGCCAGTAGAAGGCCAAAAGGCAATTAACAAAAGCAGAGGAGATGCAGGTGTCCTTTGCCGAGGCCTGAATTTCGGAATCTAAGGAGCTGGAGGAAGAAGGAAAGTGAGAACTCATACATCCTGAGTACCTAGTAAGGTGCCAGGAAATGACCTTCCCATTATCCAAGATAAAAAGAGCTACCTACGCACCTACTGGATGCCACATACTTTACATATGTACCACTTCCACACCAATTTTGCAAGATAATATTATCCACATTTTATAGATAAACTAAGGCTTTGGAGTTGTCCTGCTTTCCTCAGCCATCTTCTTTACCAAGCACCTGGCTGAGTCCAGCTGTTGATAATGGTCAGGCTGCATCATAAGTCTTTAGGGGACAATATATCATTTCATATTAATGGAGCAGAACAGGACTGGAAGAACAGCCAAGAGTAAAGGAAGGAGGTACTGGGATTCATCTGGATTATAATCTCATCCATTTAGAAGCCTCAAAACACACCCAACCCCACGGGCCTCCTGTTAATGGTGCTTAGGAGTCTGGAGATGCAGAGGCTGTCCCTAGCTCCTGTCAAGATCCAAGAGAGACCACCAGGCCTGCTGTATTGACCATCAAGCAGCTCAGTCCCTTCCTACTGCCTTGGTGGGGGGGGAGGGGGTGGGCAGCCAGGCTGTTGTCTGGCAGCCAAGAAGGAACAAAAGGCTTATTCACTGACTCAGCTCCCCTCCTAAGGGGGTGGAGTAGTGTTGACTTACAGTTTTTCCCTTGCCTTTTTATCAGAAAATAAACGCTCCCTCTGGATAGCACAGACACCGCTCTTGGGGCAGGGACAGGGAGCTGCAGACTGGCTGGCTGAACCCTGTAGCCTAGACAACCATGACAAAGACCCGACAGGCTGAGCCTTCACCCACCCCCACCTGCGGCCCTACTCCCCTGAGAGGAAGCCTGGTTCTTGCTTGCCCTTCCCAGCCAGGGGAAAGCTCCATCCCATTAGCCTCCTGGTCCTTTGCAGAGTTCAAGGGTTACAGTAATTCTATCCATGACTACAACAGAGCCATGATCAGGAGCTGGGCTGGCCAGAGTCAGCTGGCGTGACTGCAGCTGCTGCCTGCCTCTGACTCCTCTTTGGGGTGATGGAAACACTCCAGACTTCCTTCATGCAACATAGGTTTCTTCCAATTATTCTTTCACTATTTTCCCAGTTGGAAGTAGTGCTGTGCCATACTGCTGCTCAGGAAAAGTTCCTCAAGGTAGCTAAATCTATGCACACAAACCCTATGCCCAACTACACTGTCTAATTTCATCCTCACAACAAACCTATATGGTATCTATTAGGATCCCTGTTTCAGGGATGGGAAGGCAGGTGCAAAGAGGTTAAATCATTTATTTAAGCAAATAGCAGATCTGGGATTTGAACCCAGTACTGTCTGTAGCTGGTGAGCAGGTGATACTGTCTTTTTCGGAAACATTAGAACTCAGAGGATCATCACATCTGACCTCCTGCCTTTACACTTTTTACAGATGAGGAAACTCTGAGGAAACCAGAGAAGGTAAATTACTTGTCCAGTGTCGCACCCAGAATTGGCAGCAGTTCCAAAACTACATCCTGGTTCTTTTGACTTCTAGACCCAGCTATTTTTTCAGTTTCCATTTTTCCTACTGTACTTTGCAATTTCAAAGCAAATTTGCATGACGCTGCTGAGCCTTGCTGGGCTTTGGGGAGATACTGATAATCCTTGGATACATCTTACTGGCTATGTAGGTTAGACATGGCACTTAACTCTTCTAGGTCTCAGCAGCTTACTGTAAAACGTGTAAAAAGTGAGCCTTGTGGGGTGCCTGGGTGGCTCAGAGGGTTGAGCCTCTGCCTTTAGCTCAGGTCATGGTCTCAGGGTTCTGGGATCGAGCCCCGTGTTGGGCTCTCTGCTCAGCGGGGAGCCTGCTTCCCCCTCTCTCTCTGCCTGCCTCTCTGCCTACTTGTGATCTCTCTCTGTGTGTTAAATAAATAAAAATCTTAAAAAAAAAAAAAAGTGAGCCTTGTAAGTATGGTCATGAGGCTTGAGCTAGATCATCAGGGAAGAACATTCAGTAAGGTCCTATTTATTTAGAAAGCATGCAATAAATGCTGGCCACTATCATGATTATCTAACCTGACTGGTGTTCTGCTTATATTTAATACTTATGATAATCTTGGGTGGGTGGGTATGGGTGTATGGATGGGGATATATCCCCATTCAACAATCAAGAAACTGAAGTGCAGAGGAACAGCAGAACCTACACTCAACAGCTCTTTCCAGGACACACCGTTCTCTGACTTTGGAGAGAGATGGGAGCTGAGAGCTTGCTCTAGCCCACATGTGGTTTCCTGTTACAGTGTGTTCTCAGAGCACTTTTGCTGAGGAAAGGGGTGGTCCTGTGGTTAGTGACAGGGAGTCTGGTGACTTGGTGCCTTGACCTGAGTTTACAGGACAGTAAATTCAAGGCCTTGGGGCAGTCCTGTGACAGCCTAGAGAGCAAATTTAGAAGAAAAAAGGCCTGGATTCCTTACTGGGCATGAGAGCTGAGCTCAGAATGAAGAACATTTAGTCAGTTCAAGCACCTGGAAACCGTCACAAGATTGGAGAAGAGCCAACTGTTATCCAATGGTTGAGGAAGGAGGAAATATTTCAAGGGCTCAACTCAGCCAACAAGTTAGGGTCTGATTATGAACTGTAGGCCAGGGCTACCACATCATTTTCTCTAACTCGCTGAAATGAACAAGCAGGTGTCCCTGGACCTGCCATGTTAACCATTCCACTAAGGGCAATAGCCTCAGAACAGAAGTCAGGAGAGCCTCTTAGGTCAATACTTGATTCTCTCTGAACCCCTGCTTCCTGAATCATAGAAAACCAGAGAAGGAACAAGGGCTCAGAGAGTGCTAGTACAAGACTCACATTTTACAGAAAAGAAAAAACAGCTATCACTTACTGACCACTTACTATTTGCTACACGTTGAGCTAAGCTCTGCAGTAGGAAATGGAAGCAACTTGTCCAAAATCACACAGATAGTTTGTGGCAAGACTTAAGACTTGGCTCCACCAAATGCTAGGTGTGTGACCTCACGCAAGGTACATAACCTCTCTTGTCTGTTTCCTAATGTGTAAACTGGGGATAATAACAGCATTTGCCTCATAAAGGTGATTGTAAGAACTGAGTTAAAGCATGCAAATTGCTTGAAGCAGGGCCTGGCATATGGCAAATGTTCACTTTTGCCGCTATTGTTGTTATTATTGTTAGCCAACACTTCTCCTTCTTCATCTGTAAAATGAGGAGGGTAACTACACAGTCTCTAAGGACACGCTAGGTTTATTTAATGCTGGGTAACCCACCAGCGCTGTGAGCTCAGCCATAGCCCTTACCACTGGAAAATGCAGGCTACCATGTCACTTCCCTTTCAGAAAGCCTTCTCAGACCACAGAAGAGAAATATCACAAGCACTCAGGGCTAGAAGTCAAACCTCCTGAAATTGCCCAGACTGGCAAATAATTTCCCTAATGCTGTAAAAATGAATGCAACTCTGACTTATCACCGTGCACCCACTATGGACTTTGAGAGCCTTTTCCATAGGATATTTCAGAGAGCCTCTCAAAATGAGCATTTCTCCTCCTGTTGTTCCAGCCACAGGTCAGGTCCCTGAGTTTCCCAGGAACCTCTCTGACTTTCTCATATGTGGTGATGAATAGCAAACAGGTCCTCCAACTCATTTTTTCCTCCTGTTCTGAAGGAGATCCCACTTAGGGTCCAGGGTATTCAAGCCCCAACTGCAAAAGGAGTGGCTAGGAAACTTTTCTAGTAGGATTTTATTTTATTTTTATGTATTTTTTAAAACGGGCAGGGGTGGAAGGAATCTTAACAGGCTCCACACCCAGTGCGATGGAGCCCAACATAGAGCTCAATCTGACAACGCTGAGATCATGACCTGAGCTGAAATCAAGTTGGATGCTTAACCAACCGAGCCGCCCAGGTGCCCCTCTGGTAGAATTTTGTCACTCACAGAAAGAAAGAAATCAACCTCTGGGACCCTACAATGAGTGTTCAGCCTGATTTCTGCAGCACCACTCACTTCATACCAGGCATTTGGGTTAGACAGTAGAGAATCTGGTATCAAAAGAGCTGGGTTTGAATCTTGGTTCTGCCACTCCCAGGCACTGCAACCATGAGCAAGTCAATTCACCTCTCTGGTGAAAGCTTTCTCATCTGTAACGTGAGAAACCAGAGCTCCTACCTGACAAGGCTTTTGGGTGAGGAGTAGAGGCACCAAAGGAAAAGGTTTGTTCAAGGTCACCTGCTAAAGACTAGAACCAAGTCTGTACATCTTAAGCTAGTTTTCCTCTTTCAAACTTCAGTTCCTTTTTGGGCATGGATGCCACAAAAAAGGCGGATTCGGCTTTATTCACCTTCTTCCCCTCCTCTCAGAGAGCCCAGAAGAGAAGCTACTTACCTCTTGTAGGTATAGCCCAAGACGATGCCAGCTCCAATGGCGATGATGATCACCATCATGGTAATGCCCAGCACATAGCCTGCCAAGGAGAGGGCACAAGGTCCCGTTAGCCTCACCCCAGACGATCAGAAAATATTTCTTGATGATTGGCACAGGAGGGGTTGGGACAATCATACCGAGGGTTCCCAGGTCTTTTTTCTCCTTGGAGTTCACCCGCACCCGCTGGCTGATCCCAATCACTGGCTGCACGGCTGCTGCCTCACTCCGGGCAGGCAGGGCGTTGGCAGGAGCGAACACCTGCACCTCCTCTCCACTTGGCACTTCAGACGCCTCCTCAGTTTCTGTTGTGGAGGTTGGAGGGGACAGGGAAGTGGTATCTGGAGGTGAAGTGTAAAATATGTCTCATTAGAGTGGCCTGAGTGAATTTCACAGGGGAAACTGGCCTGGAGTGTTGGGGGAGGTAAGGGGAAGGGAGTTCACCTTAGGATGCCTACACACACTGAAATCCATCCTTGCCCCAAGGGCGAGACCAGGTCTGAGGGGGCCACGCTACAGTTGGGACAAGGCAAATCTGAGAGGAAGGACTAAGAAAGAGCCTCTCTTTCTTTAATCTTTATCTGTTCAAATCCTTGCCACCTTTCAAGGCCCGGCTCAGTTTGCCGTCTTCTCAAAGGGGTCTCCCTCTGCGCTAGGAAACAATCCATGAATCCACTTGTTTACCAATCCCTATGTTATATGCGTTACACATCCCATTTAATCTAATTTCAGAGAACGGTCTAGCCGCCTCAGGAGCAACCAGCCTTCGCTCTGGAATCTAAGAAACTTCAGATTCAAATCTGGACCCTGCCATTTCCTTCCGTATGTCGCTGAACTTCTCTGAGGCTCAGATCCCCCCAAACATCTTCTTTCCAGGGGCGCTGCGAGTAGAGTGCCTAACACACAGCAGACGCTCCACAAACGACCACTACACACTAAGAGACTCGCTAAGGGTGTGGGGCTGGGAGTTAAACCCCGAGAGCTCCCGGAGGCTGCGCACCAGGGAGGGAGCGCGCGGCCAAGAGGTGGGGCCTCGCCTCCCACGGTTGTTTACAAGGCGCTCGCGGAGGATGAGCTCAATCGGAGAGGCGGCAGCGGCCAATGGGCTTTAGGCCCTGAGGCCTGGAGACAGCCCTGGCCAATCGGACGACGCGGGGGCGGGGCGGGGCCGGCCGGCGACGCGCGGACGCACGTGCGCGGCGGGTGTAACGGCCGCTCCCAGGCCTCCCTGGGCGAGGGGGTTTCGGGGCTCCCCAGGTCCTCGGAGTCCCGGCGGGTACCTGGGCAGCGCAGGTCCTCGCAAGGCCGCTTCTCCGGAGCGCCGGCGTTGCCGCTGACGTAGCACCAGGGCCCTCGCGGGTCCTGGTCCGGGTTCCGGCAGTAGCTGTGGTTGCCGGCGTCTGGGAGGGGAGAGAAGGCGCCATGGGACGGGGCCAGGACCCAGACCGCGCCCGCCGCCCGCCCGCCACCCCCGGCAGACACTCACCCCACTCGGGGGCAGACGCCAGGTCGCTCTGCGCCTGCAGCCAGTTGAGGCAGCACAGGCCCGGTGCTGGGGAGGGCTGGTCCGCCCGGTACAGGTGGCCGTTGTCCCAGAAGCAGTCTGTGAGGAAGAGGAGCCCCACCAGACACTTGAGTGACCGGCAGTGGAGCCGGGCCTACCCCGCCTGGGCGACCACGGGCCGGCTGGGCCTCCCTGACCTCATGTGGAAAACCCCTGCTGCCTTGATTGATGGGTTGTTGTGAGTCCCGAAAAAGAGGAAGAGAAAGCGCATCTAAAGCGTCTCTTTGGTGCCCGGCCCTCACTCAGCGGTCAGAGCATGTTAGCTTTGCTTTGCTTTTTGTAAGCCGGAAAGTACTGCACAAGTGCAAGGGGTTGTTATTCTGGAACTTGTGGCCACTTAGGAGGAGTGTGCAGGAGAGGCCTTGGTTCGAGTACCTTTCTGGAGATGTTGGGACTTTTGAGTCGGTGGGTGGCCGGACCTGAAATTCATCCCTGTGTTGTAATTCCACATTACATAAACTGGGGTGTTCCTTTCACGGATATGGCCACAATGGCACTGGCAATACTCCCTCCCAAGAGAATTCTACAAAAGCCTTGATTCAGTCAGGCAAAAGAGAGCCTCAAACTGGAGGGAACCTACCTCATCGCTGCTTGGATGTGACTCCAAACTCCCACTCCCCTCATCAGGAGAGCATGGGGAAGGAGGGCCTGTGCCCTAACGGTACCATGCAAAGCCCCTGAAAAGAGCTAGACTTAGGGAGTAGGGGAGATGAATCCCAAACTCCATGCATTCATGAGCCACAGGCAAGGAGAAGGACAGAGAAAGTGGCTACTTGCCTTTGTTCTTAATGGCAAATATGGAGCTGCAAACCCTGACAGGGAAAGGAGGAAAAAGAAGAGGGGAAAAAAAGGGGGGGTGGGGGTGGAGAAGCCTTCTTGGAACAAGAGAAACCAGCTAAAAGCTTCATTTCCAGTGATCTTCCTGTCTAGCCTGGCCATGCTTGGGAAACTGCTTTACCCTTTCTACTTCATTAAGTTGCTGCAGGAAGGAAAGATTGTAATCTCACCTCCAGATCCATAGGCTTCTGCTAGGAGCATGTTGCTGATGAGGAATGTTTGCACCCAGGCCAAGAGCATCCTCACCTCCTTCATCTTGCGGGTGATTGACCAACCAGTGTCTAACCGGGGTCGCCTTGGCGTCGGCTCTGCCTCCCAGTCCCAGCCTTGCAGTCAGACCTGCCCTTGTTATGCTCTTCTGGTAAACAGCCTCTCTTTAGAACTGGGAGCTTCCCAGCTAGCTTGCTGCAGCGAGGTGTTTTTCGGCTGAAAGGCGCCCCCTGGGTCCTAAGCCTCCTATGCCATGCAAGATCACTAAGCCCAGAAAGGAACTCCACCCAGATAAGAGAGAGGCAATAAGTTCAGGTTGTACTTAGCAGAGGATCAATTTGAGACCTACACTGACTGCATCCCCAGGGCTTTTCATCTCTTCTGTTTCCATTTGTGTGAGTACAGAAAGAGTAACTCTGTCAAAAGGCTTCGTTGTGGGGAAGAAGGTTTGAAATTATAGTCACAAAGGCAGAACAACTTAGGACATGCTAACTACACAAGCAGGAGGAACTCAAGACCACATAGGGGGCTCAAATAAGAGTATCCAGGTGGAAGGAACACTTTTTATCCATTTCTGAAAAAAGAAAAAGGGCCTTTGTGGCTTATACATCTTTATGAATACTGACTTTTTTTTTAACAGTATAACTTTGCCAAGATCAGATCAGTCACTTTACATTATTTATATTTGGGTTTGGGGGGGGGGGTGTCATGTATAGTAGGAATACAGAAGGGGTCTCTTTAGTTGAAAACACATGTTATACAAACACTGGGACATTTGCTCGGCTGTATTTAATAGTGTACCCTTTCTACAGCCCTGAATTCATATAGAGGAAGTTAAGTCAAATGTTTGACTTTTTTCATCCACCCTGTGGGAAATCCATTCGCAGTTATTTATATCCATCATTAAACCTCACCACATTCATATGACTTAGGCCTTTTGGAGTTAGGCAGAAGGGTCCTCTTCCTGTTTGACTGACAGTTTGAGTTCCCAGGCAGTCAGTAAATGGAGAGACAGAGCAGAGTGATTCTCCAAGACTACCTTGTGACTCAGGCAAATCTCAAAATAGAAATAGGAAACTGTTTCGATCTGAAGGCTTGTATCTTTACAGGGTAACTTGGGCAGTAATTTAGGGAGAAGGAAAAAAACTTCACTAACTCTCAAAAGCTTTATCGAGGAAGAAAGCTAATGTGAATCCAACCAATCTGAAGTAAATTTGAATTTACTACAGTCAGATTTCAGATATAGAAAGGACAGAGATAAATTTAGTTTACTTTTATAGAAGTTTGCTGACTGTGTTTGATTCCCTCAGTCCATTTAATAAGATGTGTTGCTTTGTTTTTACAATCGTGTTTCTGTTTCCCCACACAAGCTTCTGATCTTCTGACTCCTGACTTGACCTATGCTGAATATTACACAGAATCTATAAATTTACTCACATATACATACACACAGGTATGCCAAAATTTTAGGATTTAATAATCCTAATATATTATTCAGGGGTCTTTTAAAAACACATTAATTTTGTAATTTTTTTGAGAACTTACTACATACTAGATACAGTTCCAGATACTGAGAACATATCTGTGAACAAAATACTTGAAACCTCTGCCCATACAGAGCTTGTATTCTAGTTGGGAAAGATAAGTGATAAATACGTAAAGTGTCAGGTGGTCTTAAGTGTCATGAAAAACAAAGTGAAATGGTCAGGGAGAGAGTAACGGTGTATTTAATTTGCTAAAGAAAGCTTACATTATTTTTCAGGGAATCAGTAGGATATTTCTATAGGCAGAAGGCTGGAGGAGAAGGGCTCTTTGCACGATTTTCCTTGAGGATCCTAAATCCTCTTACATCACTGCAAGAGAAGTATAATATAAATCCTGTTTCATTACATAAAATATATAGGCTTGAGAAAATGAGAATGCAGTTTTTAATTTCAGAGTAGCAGGGAGTTCTTTTGGATTGATTTCTCAGCATCTAATCTATTGCCTGTGTATGCAGTGAGTGTTCAGTTACCTGATGAAATGCTCTGCAGACTCTGAAGGGCTACTTCTGCCAGATTATAATACTCTCCCCTCTGATTATAATAGAGTCAGGCTATACACGGGCCGGCACTTGTACCATTTTCAGATTATCTATTGTGCCCATGTAGGGCTGCCAGTATTTCTTCCTCAGGATCTCAAACTGCATTACCTGTTGCTGTTATCTAAGGTTTCTATTCAGAAAACTGCTATCTTCAGTAACTTACCTTGATATACAGAGAAACCATATTTTGTGCCATGTGTCTTATCAGGAACAGCACTACCTAGAAACGATATAAGACAGGCTAGAGGAGATTTTTTTCAGCTTAGTCATCTCTGCTTTTTCTCGCCTGTAAGACATTTATCTGCATGATTTGATTTTTTTTTTTTTCTAGAATGACAGACTGGTTTCTCAGTCCTTCAAAGGCGTATTCTATTATAATAAGTTCAGTACTTATTCCTTCCTCAGGGAAATCAGATTTAGTTCAGAGATGTGCCTTTCATCATCACTGATGATGTTTTGGTGTTTTTCTTATGATCTAGTTTTGAACTTTGCTTCATGTATTGGTGCAATATGGCCATATTTCATGGCCTGTAGTTACTCCAAATTCCATATTTCTCCCAGAAATATTACTATAATAACAATATGATACAGCGCTACTCATATACTCATTTTGGATTGTGTATATCCTTGAAGACAACGTTGTGAAATATAATACTCATATTTTACTAAATATTTCAGGGATGTTTGATTCTCAGTTTTATATTAAATCATTACTGATCCAGAAAGACAAAGCCATACTGTTAATTCAGGAAATAACCTCCAGAGCATTTCCCAAGAAAGATGGGCAGTTCATTTTGAGAACAGGGAATGTTAGTGGAAGAGCTCTAATAAGTCTTGAGAATCTTTTTTGTCAGCAAAAAAGAGCTAACATGTTGGTAAAAATCTTTGGAGTAAGATCTAATGAGTTGGCTCCAGCTACTCTCTCCATATAACGTGCTGTAAAAGTAGCTACTGAGATTTTGCTGAAAGATACTTGGGTGTATAATTGCAAACCGAGCAGAGGATGACTTTATGAAGCTTGTTAAGGAAATAATATTCCAATATCTAAACCCCAAGCCCGTTTTCTTTGAAAATATGGCCTTCAATGAGTTAGGTTATTTGCATTTTGATACATAGTTAAGTATTTAATAAGTGTTTGAGATAAAGGGGGAAAGCAGAGTACCACACAAACATAAAGAGTCTAATAAGCCTACAGAGGATGATAATTTTTTAAGGGTAAACAATAAAACAGCCAAGAGGGCTTGTGGGTCATAGGTTACTTTCGGAAACAAGACCTTCTACACTGAGGAAATGAGGAGCCACAAAAGCAGAGAACTTGGGAATATCACATAACTGGTTTTGAAAAATAAAGAGAATAGTAAATTTCTGAATGAGAGTCAATTTTTACTTAGAGGCCAGTCTTAGAAAATATGGGTTTTCACACTGAAGAAAACACAGTCTTCAGTGTTGCAGGGATAACACTAGAGACTATGTAAACTAAGTTGGCTTATAAGACTAAGCTGTTGATATATTTTTTAAAGATTGTATTTATTTATTTGACAGACAGAGATCACAAGTAGGCAGAGAGGCAGGCAAAGAGAGAGGAGGAAGCAGGATCCCTGCTGAGCTGAGAGCCCGATGCTGGGCTTGATCCCAGGACCCTGGGATCATGACCTGAGCCGAAGGCAGAGGCTTTAACCCAGGTGCCCCTAAGCTGTTGATATTTAAGGTAAATTAACCCAATAAGCTACAGTGATGCCTCCTTGGGAAGGGAATGTAATATTCTTCAATCTCAGGAAACCAGAGCTGCAGCTTTTAAAATTTATCAACACCTAGTGTGCGTTTTAGTGCTGACATTTAAAGCAAGAGAAGCCTTATGCCAAATAGTTAAGGGTGTAGGATTTGGAAAGACCTGGGTTCCAGTCTCAGCGCTAGAGTATGGTCTTGGGTAAATTACTTAGCATCTGTAATTCTGTTTCCTCAGCCTGTTACTGTGGTTCAGAGTACAGGTACCAGGGGTGCCTGGGTGGTTCAGTGAGTTAAAGCCTCTGCCTTCGGCTCAGGTCATGATCCCAGGGTCCTGGGTCCGAGCCCCGCATTGGGCTCTCTGCTCATTGGGGAACCTGCTTCCCCCTCTCTCTCTGCCTGCCTCTCTGCCTACTTGTGATCTCTCTCTCTGTGTCAAATAAATAAATAAAATCTCTAAAAAAAAAAAAAAAAGGAATACAGGTACTAACGTCAGAATTCAAATCCCAGCTCTGTCACTTACTGGCTATGTCATCTTAGGGAAGCTACTAAATTCTCTATGACTCTGTTTCCTCAAATGGAGGTTGAGAGAGATAAAAATAGTACGTACACCACTGGATTGTTGATGTTCACTCAGCCCTGAATAAATATTAGTTGTGTCAGTCTTTGTGTCAACAACCTCTGACTCTGAAGTACTGAGTATATTTGCTATCTTCCAGAAACTCAGAATCTGGTCATAAAGATCAGGCTAACACATATGAAAATAAAAATATTATACAGCATTTGTAAGTAGGTGTTAAAGAGTGTGATACAGACAATAAGGGCTTATTGATTCAGTGATTATTAAATAGCCACTGCATACCAGGCAAGCACTAAGCTGAGTACTGAGGATACAACAGTGAACTCTACAAGGTCCTTGTTCTCAAGAAGCTCATAATTTTGTGATAGAGCAGATACTAGTAGGCAAAACAACAGTGAAATAAATGCTACAGTGGATATTAGTACTGGGGGCTGTGGGAATGCACGGGGCGGGTGGGGGGTCATGGCCTAGTTTTAGGATGTTAGAAAAGGCTTAGCGGAAAAAGTATAATCTGAATGGGGAAGGAGTTAGTGTTCTTGGCAGGTCAGACAATGTGCAGAAGCCTGGAAATGTAGGCTATCACTGTGCTAGTGGGGCAGTCAGGATGGTGATTAAAATGAGGCCAAAAAACAAGCAGCCAAAGAGGTGAATACTTGCTGATCAGGTTATGGAGGTCCCTAAGTGTAGACTTTATCCTGAAGGCAATGAGGAGTCAGTAAAAGTTTTAGGCAAGAGAGTGACATGTTTTAACAAGATCACTCGGGCTGCAGAGTAGAGGATTAGAAGAAGCCAAGACAGAAAGACCAGCAAGGAGGCTTTTGGACTAATGTAGGTGAAGGAGAATGGTGGACCTGGACCCAGAA